GGGGGGGGGGGCTTTTTTGAGGGGGGAGGCAGTTCGAGGATTTACGGTAGCCATTAAGTAGCTATGCAGGTATCTCAGTATTTCAGTGGCTAGTAAAGAGATTCATAAGTGATAATCAAATTCCTTGCTCAAAATTCTAGGTTCTGCAAGTAGGTTGTCTGCAAATTACAAAAGTTACATTCTTTTCCTTACATTAAGGAACACTGATGTTTCGACCAGGGCTGAGATGTACTTAATTGTTCAAGGATTCTTGTCTAGCAGCTCTTTTGAAATTGTTCTTAGGTTCTTTACCTTCTTCTGTTTTTTATTTAACTTCTATTATAGCATTTTCATTGAACCCTGTGACGAGCAAGGGAAGATGCAGCTCTATAAACACTAATAATATACCACACATTATACACGAAGACCCCCAAACAAAGATAACTATGGAGGGGGGTTAGAAACGGGAAGGGCGCGGGAGTTATGGCCTCCACACCAAGGCAAGCAAGCCCAAGTCGGAAGAACAAAACCCAAACTCATTTTCAGCTTTGGAAAAGGGAGATACTTTAGCCTCTGGTCAGAATAATCATCCCTAATTTAGTGCACCCTTAATACAGTATGCATCATAACATGAAAACAAAGACCAGATTCCAAACCTCCTAAATGTGCAATATGTAACCATCTACGAGACAAGACCCAGCTTGTGTAAGCCAAGGATGATCTGCTTGCTAGGCCAACTCAATACACACAGCCTGACTTAGCTACCTGGAAATCAGCTGATTTCTCTGAATGACTCTACTCTCTTTCAACTATACAAGCTATTAATTAAAAGTTTCTATGCTTAACATAAAATAATCATTCTTTAGCAGCTTCTCAGCCACTAATGTCCATGGAGGTGTGGTGGGCGATTGAACAGGGTTTAGGTTATAAGACAATAATATAAACAGAAGCCTTTGTCTATAAACTGTGCGAAACTTGGTGCGAGTGCCTTGGGTATAGCGAAAACGCATCGCTCACAGTTCTAAGAAAATTCCATAAGCAAATCGAGGCAGATGGTGAAACAGATTTTTAGACTGCCTAGTGATATTTCAGACGTCTTCAACCTAAAGAGTTCCTTTACATTGGCAGAAGGTATCGACCAAATTGGAATGAGGTTTTGGAGTTGCAACAAATCTAGAGAAATGTACCATTTGCAATCATTTCACCATGTCACTACGTACTTTTTCTCATTTCTACCTGCATTCACTTTTTTGAACTCTTTATTCCTTTAATATCAACGCTTAGGTTCCATAACGATTTGAAGAATCGCTATCAATTTGGTTCCAAGAATATTGGGGGGGGGGGTTATATACCGTAAATTGTGTCAAGACCAAAGAAACTTTGGTTGCTGAAAATATTATTACATCTAATATGTTTTCTAATTATCATCCCTTCATCTAGGCAGAGAAAATGTTAGGCTTATCGAATCTGTGACGTAAACAAGTAACCCAAAACTGGTAATGGGACATGCAAGCTTTGTTTTTGCATACAAAGAGAAGTTAGGAATTGTATCGACTAGGTGGCAAGCGCATTGAGAATATTATGTAATGAGAGAATTTTACGTGCTTTAAGAACGGAGGACAAATGAACGGAAGCGTTGCTTGGTTAGGAACTTTTAAATTGAGAATCTTGTGAAGTTAATTCTCACATTAGATTAGCTCAAGTCAAATATTTCAAATTGCTAAAGAATTGCAAGCTAAATTGCGACGAAAAGGTGATTAATATGAGATAACACAATTAACATTGGTGTTTTTCAATTATAGGTTTATGGCTAAGAATGACTCCCATTGTTGCGATCAAAGCGTGAATCGGGTGCATGGATGGCTGGCTTGATTGCACCGTAACTCAGTTTGAATATATGTTGATACTGTTATCCTTAGTGCTTGACACAAAAGAAAGACAGTCGAGAATTGTTACGCCTACATTCGCGGAGTTGTGATTTGCGCTGTTGGGAGTAACAGCGGAAAGGAGTTCAATCGAGCGGCCAACTTTACCAAGCGAAAAAGTTCACTTTACCAAAAGACGTAATTTCGTGTTGCTAAAGGGAACGTGAAAAATCAAAGCAACCAGCGTATATACGGTTTTGCGACTATTTAGAAGTTTAAAGTCAGGACGTAAGACAGTTGCTTGAATATAAATTATTAATTTGTTGAGGAAATAATACCCTCTCGAGGTTTATCATGCAGATAAAGCTGTTAGAAATCTCCATTGATAACAAGTGACAACCGTATCTCAACCAGACTTTCAACCAACACAAGCAAAGTATCCGAAATTTTTAAGATTTCAAGTTAACGCTGCCGTTGTGAAATTTTTCGAGATTGAGTTCGCGTTGGCTTGGAAATTGTCACAAATATTACGGAGTGTTACGATGAAACTCGTGAAACAATCCCCTTATTAACGCAACGGGTACCTGAAGATAAAGGATAAAGATCAAACAACAGCAAAGATTGAAATCGAAGGAAGACAACTTTCGTAGCACTGAAATTAAAGAGCTGTCTTGGTTTTCTGTGAAATCATTTACTTTGGAGACGGATTACATACCAATTTGCACAGTGGTTATAGAATAAAGAAGCTGTAAGATCGATTGAAAATTTGGATTAATAAAAAACGTAGTTGGCAAGTAATTTCTTATTAATATTCATGAGATGCAAGAAATCAAACGATTCTTGTAATTCTCAAGAGAAAAGTTGGATTAGAAAAAGTTTAAAAATTGTGTCTCTTGGTACAGTTATAAGAAAGACCAAAGTGCAGGTGCAGTTTCATCGTGGCACACAGTTCTCGAAAGCACTTTCGTCTGTGGCACGCTGCAATGTTAGTAAACAAACAATTGATATACAGTTGGAAGTAGATCATCCGTCTCTCATCCGTCCTGCTGAAGGTTGTTAGGCTTGAGCCGTGGCTGAGAAAATGGGTTACCCCGCAGACCGCTTTGTCAGCAACGTGGACCAGAACTTACTCTGCAATATTTGCACTGGAGTTATGAACCAAGCGGTAGTGACATTGTGCGGGCATTCATTCTGTGAACTGTGTCTCAAGACATGGCTTGACAAACCTGACACCGACTCGTGTCCAACTTGTCGTTCATATACTTCAAAATTTGATATGATACCCAACATTGCCGTACGCAATATGATTGATGTCTTACTTGTCTGGTGCGACAATTCAGAGAATGGATGCAAAATTGTAGTGAAACTAGAATCATTGAGGAAACATTTAGAGAAATGCGACTATCGCCAAGTTAAGTGCTCTGCGTGTGGCGTAACTATACCGAGAAATGAACTCGCAAATCATTATAAGATATGTGCAGTAATAGAAGAAGAATTGCGAAAATCGAAAGAAAGAACTGCGATTGATGTTACGGTGGAGGCGCTACAGCGCCAAATAGCTGCTCTGGAAATGGATTTATCTCGTACTCGGCTTGCCTTGAAAGATTCCGAGAAATATGCGTGTTCCGTTGCAAAGGAACTCGAAAAACTTCGACAAGAACACGAAATTCGAGATTCTAATCAACGGCAGTACCCAGAATGGGACCCTGATTACGCTTATGGCTACTCGCCGAGCAGCATCGCCCAATTGGCGTGTTTGCTGTCGAAATATCTCCTCGATAGACCGTCCTGCATCGACAGAAATCGTGTTTTCATGGCAATAAAGCGATGTTACACATACTACCACAACTATGCAGGCTACTCGCAAGATGTCCATATGCTTTTGGCGACTTCGTGCGCGTGCAACTGGTTTCAGGACCATCAGAAACTTTTGCTGGAACGGTGGCTTGAGCAAGTGACCCTTGCGAGGTTCCCCGTTCTTGTGAACACTAGAAGCGTGGAACTGGAGTATAGATAATGTTGCGGAAAAATTATTTAATTTATTCAGTTAAATTGGAAATCCCCCTTTTACATATGTTAGGTTCCTAAATTTCTTCAAATGATTCGAAAAACACAGGAAAAAATGCATGGCTGCTTGGGGTTTGTTTTAGCAAGCTTGTAAACTGATTTCATTACCATTATCACGGGCTCAGACAGAGGTGGGAAACTTGGGGGGTGGGGGCAAACAAAAAAATTTAACAACCAATACAAAATATTTTGAAAAAAAATCTATTATTTTTCCCCTATTATAGTCTTGAGAAGGAAAACCATACTTGCAGCATCCCTAAAAAACATCCCTATCATATGTATTTTGAACAGGGAGAGCCCTACTTGTAACCAATTCAGCAACCTTATTTCCAGGTTTCCAGACCCTGCAATCTGTTCTATACTAAAAAAACCAAATTATTTCGAGTAAAAATGTTTTGCGATAACCAATGAAATTTTGCGAGAGAATGTATACATAGTAGCTTCTGTTTCTTCGTATTCAGTAATCTATTATAAAAGTAACAGAATATAGTTCAACAATTACTGGAGGACTCTTGCCTAAGTTCCTCTGCTCCCGAAAGCTTCAGAGGGAAATCTGCTCTTTGCATCTTTTTGTGGCAGGATTGCATGTATCTGCTTAAAGATTAATGTTTAAGGATGAAATTTTAAAAAACAAAAATGAATTTTCTTAATTCTTCAAAACACATTTCTGCATATAAATCTAGAACTTATTAGTCCATTTTCTCGGCATTCTTTTTTAAAATTTGGGCGTGATTTACGTCAATGCCATGCCTACTGATATCGTTTGCATTTTCCCGAGAACATGTCCCAGGGCCTGTGGCAATCATTCAAAGGAAAATACACTTGCAAACGTAAAATTTTATCTTTTTTATAGATGCGAAGAAGCGGCTACCTTTTCCTTAATTTTGCGATATTCAAATGAAAATGGCCGCCTGGTTAGCTTTCGATTTTCGATAAAGGCATAAAGAAAAATAGAGTTTTCACTGTTAGCAACTAAATCATATATATTCAATGCAAACCATGCGCTTAGAACGTTAATATTCAATGAATGTTATAGCTGAATGGCCTTTCCTATACTTCACATAAATACCGCATGGGCAAAAAAACATAAGTAAATTCAGGGTGGGCGGCGACTAAGTGGCTATATGATTCTGTGTGTTGCCATCTAGATTTTAGATTATATTACGAATAAAGACTATAAAAAAATATAACTACGGATAAAGAGGTTTCTGAAAAAATTTAATTGCCCGGTATCCGTTATTAGGAGGTGTCCGTTGATGGAGCCCTAACCGTGGTGAACTAGCACTAATCCGAGGCAGCGTTTTAAATGTGACAAGCAAATAGCCTTGAATCTACTTTGAAATGCCTATTTATACTATCAAATGAAAAGATAGTAGTCAGTAATGAAAATATAGTAGTCAGTTATAAACTATGCAAATACTAAACTGTAAAGAAATACGCAACATTTGTGGATTAATTTTTCATCGCATTACTTCAATAAAGAATTTTTGTGAACGATGTTTTTAAATGGAGAGCGGAGGTAATGCATCGCCGCAGAAACGCGGTCGTAAAGTCCCTTGCCTGATTAATCGATGTGGACTGTGTCATTTTGAAACAGAAAAAACCAGCCCTACATAATTCTAGATTTGCGTTTTTCGCTTAATCTATGAAATTTGTCAGCGCGGGTCCATTTCTACGCAATTTGCGCGGCAGGTTTGTCGCTCCAACCAACTCAGTGTTGTGATCTGTTAATTAATTAAAAACTTGCGGTATCAGCTACAGAGGCGTACGAAGAATTTATGAGCACCAAATTTTGGAAAGTCTTTTATTATTTATAAATTTATTTTCAATTCATAGAAACTTTCGCACCAGTAGGCGTATTTTAAGCCATTGGTAACTGATTCTAAAGTATTGTGCACATGCGATAGAACCAGGACTCTTTTTCTAAAATTCTTTTATCGGCTATTTAAGCGTGGTAAGCCGCTTTTGGCCTAAAGCCGCCTTGTATTGTTAACCAATGTTTATTCATCAACCAATTTTCATAGGCTTGGAATATCATAACTTCGTATGCATATCTTTGAACGAATATAAGCTTCAACGTGTGTAAGAAGTCCAGCAGACTAGCCATGAGTCAAGTAACGCTCGGCTAGAGTGGTTTGAACAAGTTGGTCATTTTTTGTCAGATAAGCAAAATTACATTTCGTCTTGGAAAAATGTGTTTTCTAATGCAAAATCTATTGTGAATAAAAAACTTGGCCCAACAGGACAGCGTCAAAATGATACCTACATACGGGGTATGCAAGACAAACTACTCTGAAATATATTTCTTGAGTGAATAGAATGTATACAGATATCATGAAGCTCTTTAATCGATATTCAACATGGGGGTTCTAAAAACACTTAATGACGCAAACTCATTTATTGCAGATTCTGAAATATCAGCGTTATTCATTACTAGACACCAATCTCCAAAAAGAAGCGAAACAGAGTACATTGCAAGACCGCAAAAAACCATGGAAAATGCTCACAGAAATTTCATGACAAATTTTCAAGCAAGCACTAAACATTTTGCAAGAGAAACATCTCCAGTAATAGAAATACAATGATCAAACTTAAAATTGTATTAATGGAAATAACTGCTGATGTTCTTTGTTAGGTTTTAAAACAAGCCCCTATTAATTTTCTCTGGATCTCACGTTCATAATGATGGCGTCTCTGTTGATTAAACATTAATGTAAAAGCAAAGTAATCATTCGAGCATTTTCCAGCAGAAACAAAATAAAACACGACGAGCTTTCTAAAGAATAGTTTTCAATAATTCTGCTTCATTTATAAAACTTCATTACATTTCCAAGGTTTTCAGAATTGAGATTCTTGCAAACAATATTTCACGAAGAACCAGTTCATGACGTCACTGACGATCGATAGCTAAAGAATCATCAACGAAAGACTTGTTTGGAACTGAAGGCTGTTGTCAATTGCTCTATCAGAGTGTTTTAAGGCCATGGAGAAGAGCTGATACAGTCCAAACGCTCGATTCAAGCTAATGATCACACTAACCATGAAACTTGGTGTATCAAATTAGAACCGTTCTAAACAAAAAAGTTTGCTCAAAATGATGCTTGGATCCACCCTTTCTTTTGCTTTGAGAAAATTAAAAAACTGCTTCTGCTCTCCAGAGAGCCGGGAGAAAGTTTCTGCAAAAGTATTGTGTTGTTTTATGAAGCAGTAATATATGCTCCCTTGGTTCCTCCAAAAAGGGTCATCAAAAATACCCGCCAATACCCATGAAGAGATTGCACAGACTTGATCGTATTAAAACGTTTAACGTCTAAGTTTGAGAGACGACACATTGAGTGATTTCCTTTTGTTGAAGGAGAAAAATGATGGAAATTTAATCCAAACAGTAGCTTTAATGCAATCTATACACTGAAAATGTTTGCGATGCAATGATCTTCTCCTTAAACGATCACGTTTAATCTCGGTTACACAAGTCCTTTCTTCAAATTTTGCGAACGATATCCCAGATAGATTTCAATACCGAAATACCTACTACTGATATTAAAAATTATTTTTAAGCTCTGATTAAGATAAAGCTAAAATAAATAAATAAATGTCCTTCAAGCTTTGCTTCCTTCGAGAGAATCTAGTCTATTACACGCCTTTGTTACATAAACACATGCACCATGTGAGTTTTTACGCCGCTAGATGTCAAACGTTCAAGGACATGAGCACAGAAAACATCTAACAGATCTTTCAAACTTACATACGGTATGTTCCATGTTATGCACTGGCTGCGATCAGAAGCTTGTTAATAAAATCCAAGAATCGTCCATCAGTTTGGTCTTGGGGAAATTTTCGTATAGCTGAATGCTAAAAGAGAAAATCAAAAATCAAAAGGCATTGAAACCAGGGAAACCCCAACAAAATCAGGAGATGGACGACTTTCACGGACAGTAGCCTAAAATTTCCCAACAGTGGCACAACCATAAAGCAGGCAATTGAGCCAAATATAATCATTGCCAAAGTCGTCACTAAAGTCTCTGAGGTACTCCCAATGTGGTACACACACCAAACCAACCCAAATCACGCCACCCTATCACAAAAAGTAGGATTTCATTTTTCGCATTGAAAGGACACGAAGATAATAAGGAACCTTTTTCAACTCTAAATTGAAATTATTCACATTTTTCCAATACCAGAAGAGACTATTTTTCTCTACATGAATTGTGGTTATGCTTTGGTGATTTAATTGTCTAGAAGATCGTGCAGCTCGTTCCAAAGGCAATTAAAACCAAAGATTACATCATTTATCATTAAATATTTAACATAAGATTAACATATATGACATAAAATAATTTTCCTGAGCCATAAGCTTAACAGTCTTTTAAACTCCAGGCCAGTGCAGTCCTTAGTTATTCTAGTTCATTGCTACATTAATTGAGAATCAGTAAATACGGAAATAGTTATCTATTGTCACAAGTAGGCATTTACTCCGAGTTAAAGCGTAGGTCGTTTCTCATAATGATACAATTTATACTAATGATCGTATTCTTTCCAATTATAAAATCAACAATTAGAAATCAACAATTATAAAAGAAAAGATTGCAAATCCGGCTATTGCAAATAAAGCAGGTGACAAGAATGTAACGTGACTGAAAATTTGATTTCAAAATAACACAATTTAAAAAATAGCCTGTTTATTTACATAGGATATAAAAAGCCTTTCAAGGCAAATTATAAAATTTCATGAAGCGTTGTTCTGTCAGTCAGGTTTATCTCTATTCATTCAATTAAGAAGTCACGCAAAAATTTTTCAGCATGATTCTCCTCATTTAGCAAAACATTCAAATGTAATGCATACCAAAGAGCTGCCAACCAGGCTAAAAGTTGCAGCAAACAAGCGAAAGGTATAAATTACGTAATAAGTTAATATTAACATGTCTGTTGCGGAGTTTCGGTGCTGTGTATAAAGAGGTCAGGGTTTTCGCGGGCTCGCCTTTTCATTTTGATTTATGCTGCAATATTTTCCTAACTGCAGCAAACCCTTTTTTGAAGGATGCAACAATTAAAAAAAACCACAAAACAGCGGAACAAAATTTCGGATTGCGTGTGTAGTTTTTGCTGTCACGAAACAGGCTGGTTTGTGTGGTCGAAATAAACCAAATTGTATCTTTTGGAGTACAGCATAAAAATGCTTTATTCCAATGGTGTAATCAATATATGTCAACATACTTAATTCATTTTGTGCAGCTGAGTATACCATAAATCCTCGAATAAGCCCCCGGGCGCTTATTTGCAAAAATGAATTTCTGGGTGGGTGCTTATTTGAAGGGGATAGGGGCTTATTCGAGAGGAGACTTATTTCGAAATCAAGTGTTTTTCTCAAAGGTCGACATAAAAACAACATAATTTTCTCAATGAAATAAATTGAAAAATTTCAAAAAGTCTATTTTCCTTTGGGGGCTTATTCGAGGAATTACGGTACTGGTCACGTCAGTCAAGGACACTTTCTCTAAGAGGTGTTTGTTGTTGTAGTTGCTCTCGAGTAGCTGTAGACAGACTTACTCAATGAGCCTCTGTTTCGCTTCTACATCTGCTGAGACAGTAGCGGCAGTAGCGAAACAGAGGCTCATGGAATTAGTCTAGAGTAGCTGTAAAGTACACATGGGTGGGATACAAAACTAAGGACAAACAAACCTTAATTTTATCAAGATAGGTTGCTTCTGATGTCCATGTTTCTGTGAAATTTATGCTGTCTGGATTGCCTTTGTGGTAGTTGACCAAGGCCACCTGAAACATGGAAACACATCAAAGTTAAAATAAATAAGGTTTTCAAAAAAAACAGACGAAGAAAGTAACTTTTCAATTAGTTACTATGGTTAAGAATTCCCTAATTCAAAAGGAAAAATGCTTTAGTCCCCTTGTAACTTGTGAACTAACAGTTTAAAGCAACATACTTCGTGGTTCTATGTTTAAGAAAAAACAAGGCTATAATTGCCGAAAGACCAACTTAAGAAGCAAGGGCTGGCGGTGAAAGAAAACAAAACTTTAAAAACGATAAATAAAAAACAAGCGAACAGCCATTTTCAAAACATCAATTTTTCAATTTTGCGATAATCATGGGCGTTAAGATTTTTTTATCAACGTTATATTGCCAGTAAATAGATCCAATACACACGAAACAACTGAGGGAATTTTGTGGCTAAAAAAGAAAGGAAAATGGGGAGGACTGAGTATGATATCAAAACAAGATTTGAATTCAACTATCCAATACTCTGATTCGCAGGTTGTGCTTTTGTTGTTTGAACTGTTGTGTCACTGTGGTTTGGTTTGCTTGAGCCGCTTCAGCCAAATCCAAATAACCGAAAAATTCATTTTTGTTGAAAATTAGAATAACATGGTTAGTCTAGACAGAGATAAAGGATTTATAATAGAGGATAATAAAGATAAGACCATCACTGGTGTTGATATTGCATACCAACATGACCTGTACTGCATATCAATGCATTTGCCCTGGACAAGCAACCATAGGATTTAAAACTGCGCATATTAGCATTCTGTTTGCACAATAAAGCATTGATTGTGATCGTATTGAATTTTTTGTCTTATATTTTTTAGCATAAAACATTTTAACCTTTTGATACATTTACAAAATGAATTTTTTCAATTTAGATTCTTGATTACCTGATTCAAATCACATGAATTAAAGTCATTTTGCTTCAAATATCCCAAGAGTCATTCCTTGAGGGGTTTTTGTTTCATCCCCAGCCCCACCATAAGGCCCCACCCCCAGCCCCACTCCCCGCCCCACCCCCTTTCATGTTAAGCTAGACTTCAGGCTGCTAGACGCTATCACTATTCGCTTGTTCCACTTTCCAGCACGAACCAATTGCGAATGATTTAAAATGGAATAGAAAAAATCGATTCTTTTAATCGGCACTTACCATTTCATTGACAACATCCTGGGTGAGCTGCTGGTCTTGCTGAGTGGTAAAACTAATACCAAGAGGCAGTGGCAACTTTTCAGGGTGCACCATTGCATGGCTCTGAATCCAGAATGCCTTAAAAGCTGCTTCTTTCTTGTGTGAATCATACGGTGCTGATTGAGAAAAGAACAAAAACATCACAACATGTAGCCAAAGGAAAAAGAACATTTGGCCTGAACTTGCGTTTAAATCCAAAAAGGCGATGGTTGATATAATTTTAAATGATAAGGCAACAACATGATGATAAGTTAAGCAAGGACTACTTAAGTCATTTGTTAACTAAAGGCTGGCAAATTCTATCATCAACCAATGCTTAACAACCTATAGAACGAAAAAAACCTGCTAAAAAGTGATTCTTTTTTTAACCACCGGAACGACAAAATGTATTCAAAACTATGGAGACTCTATTCAAACATAGATGTCCTGAATTCGAGAAAAAAGGCCTGGCCAAACGAACAAAACATCCATAAAACAAATGTGGCCGTCTAGCGCTTCCGGGAGTCTCGGACCGTATTTTTTGCACATCTACACATGCGCAGCTACCTATAAATGCCGCACCATTTTAGAAACTGACAAAGATGGCAACCCCCGAAGCGGCTAACCGTTCCTGTCCATAATATACGTTATCCTTCTTTTTTCCTGCTTGCATAACCAGTAAAGAGAATTGCCAGTTTTGGCAATATACTAAGCTAGAATGGTAGTTGCTCTCTACACTTTGACCTGATCATTCTGCTTTTTAAAATTTCTCTCTCAAGGTAAGAGCCTTCTTTCATCATCCCACATGTGATAGTTCTTGTCAAAAACATCCGACACACAATTTCGATCTTCAAGCAGCTCGATGAGTTTCATAGTCTCTCTGACCACTTCCTTGTCATCGCACGCTTTGTAGCCATTTTTCTTTACTCCTTCTATCTTGCTTACCTCTACGACCACGTCCTTATTTGCTTCATAACTTGCCATGTTTATTTTGCTCAAGAAGACTGCGCCAAATTAAATTTCCCAGAATGTCCTGAGTTCTTAGCTTGCTGTGCATGCGCGAGTCTCTCAACGGATGGCCAAATGAACGTAATATTGTTGATCAAACATGAGAACAAAAGAGATGTAGTCAGAAATGTTCTGTGGAAGTCAACATTCGTAAACACCATAGAACAGGGTGGCATTAAAACATGTTTTCTCTAACAATGCTGGATGATGTTTTCTGGAGATGTTTTATTCGTTTGGCCAGGGCTTAAATCAATATCTACAATCCCAAAATAGCCTTCAAATAAGCAATGGTTAAGGAGCTTACAAACAATGATTCCAATGCATGGCTCAGATGAGTTTTCATCTTTGAGAAGACCTTGGTATTGCAGCTGGTTTCTGATATCTTGCAATGTTGGATCAGGTTGGCAGAATGGGTGGCTGTGATACCACCCAACCAGGACCAGATCGGCCCTTTCTATGTCCATGCGAATCTGACAGTGAAAAGAGTGACGTATTAGACGACAGTATACAGAGGATTATACCCACAATAATTGCCAAAATCGTGGATTACTATGGGAGCACTAGCGTCAGTTTTCGATGGCAAATTTCATACATCCCCTTCCCCCTTGGGTTACTTTGAAAAAGTAACATAAAGGGTACTTTTTCTTGCGACTTGCATGATATTTTTCCAAGACCACCAACATTGTTCTGGGGGGAGAAGTGGAAATAGCAGCACTCGGGATAAGAAATAAAATCCGCCAAAGGTCATGCGACTGAGAGAAAGCATTTCTGAATATGCGGAGCTTCGATTTGTACTACGAAAGTATTTCAACTCTGTTGAACTACAGAGCGCATGTAAGATGCTTCTTTTTAAATTTTAGAAAACGTGACCATGAATTGAAGTAGTATCTTGTACTTTACCGTCACTTTGAAACAAGTAGTAATGCCTCGAACAAGCGCCCCCCTCAAATAAGAGCCCCCCTCGAATAAGCGCCCATCCTAGAGGTGAAGTTGTTGAAAAAGCGCCCCCCTCGAATAAGCGCCCACCCCTCGAATAAGCGCCCATCATTCAACCTTCAGAAACGGCGCTTACTCGAAATTTCAACGAAATCGTAATTTGAAGGCAATTCAACAAGAAAGATTAATGAACAACACAATTTGCACCCAAATCTACATTTAAAATAAGCGCCCCCTCGAATAAGCGCCTCCCTCGAGAAGCGCCCACCCTGGAGCCTCAAAAATTAAACTATGTTACTGAGCTTTTTAAACGTACCTGAGATTCCATTTGCATGCCATCTTCCTTATCGGATATTCTACACTTGCAAGGATAGGCTTGGACCACTTTTAAGTCTGTTGATAATGAGCATTGAAATTGTAAGTACAAATACCAGCGCTATGACCTTTTGAAAAAAACATCGAACACTAAACAATAGGTTGGCAAAGTGTCTCAGGACTACAGCAAAAATACAGATAAAGGCTTCCCTTCTGCTTCCAAATCAAACCTAAGAGTAATTATCAAATTACAAGTTACAAAATTTAGGCAAAAAATACTGTTTTATTTTCTACGTTTCTAGTGGAGGGTTCCTTGGAAATAAAAATTATTGCTGAAGGGTAACCACCTTTAAAAATTTTTATGTGAGAAATCGATAAAAATACAAAAAGAATCCACAGGATAAATCCACACTTAATTTCGGAAAAAAGCGCAGGGAAGAAAATGTCTAGGATAGCAGCCTTGGGAAAAATTTATCAGTTCTAAGAAGATTGTAAGAAATATCCTCAAAAGGATTGGGTAAAGCCATAAATAAAGAAAAAAGAAACTCAGAAGGAAAGACAGCTTTTTGAAGATTGTTCAATATTAAATGACTAAGGAAGCTTACTAGCAGCCAGGAAGGATTATATGGACAAAGAATATTTGGGAAATATTCTCTAAATAAACCACACTTTGAAGGGATGGCTTGTAACGAACAGCCTTCAGATCAAGGAATATCTAACTCAGAGCCTAGATTTACAGAGATTTCAAAGTATAAGTCGGTAAAACAAAACGTTTGTAGAAATGAGAGAATACATACGCTGACGGACAGGGTCCCATTTTCCTGCCAAGTAACCAGTGACTTCACTTGTCGATAAATGAGAATGGAAGTCCTGAAATAGGTTAAGGGGAGGCTTAAGTTAGCATATGTCCGTTGCGTGCATTGCAGCCATTATGCACTGTGATAATCCAATGTTTTACATCAGAAAAATGATTACAAATGATTTGCAGTTTATAAACCAATATAAGAGGGTAAGCATGAATATATAAAAGTTTGGATCATTGGAGCTTTTTGTTTTCCGTTGGTTACTGAGCATGACGCTGCTAATGCTACGCAGAAATTCATATAAACGTCCTTCTCTAATAAGCGTCCCATCAGATTATTAAAAAATTAAAAACACCCATAGGGCTTATTAAGGGAAATACTGTATTGACTTTTCCAGTAATCAAACTTAAACCACTGAAATAACAGCTTTTATGCAAAGTTACCCCAATGTTGTTCTCTAACAGATCACACAAAAAACTTAAATCGTCAATCACAAGCAAAAGGGTATCAAAAAACATAGGGATCGTACTGTGCAAAAGAGTTTTGAATGAATCATCAAAGGGAAATTTTTCAATTCAAAGCTGCTTCGCCATTTCACAACAGTAAGCATACATCTCACTCTGGTGTTAAAAATAATTCACTAAAAGCTGTCTTCTTGTTGAGACACGTGCACGATACACTCTCTGTAGCATTTGCAGTTCTTTTAAGAGGAAACGAGGAAACGACCGCTTAGAAGGAAGCCTTTCGACTCATTCTTTAACGATGAATAAAAACAGATATCCATAGCATATAAGATATCACACTTACAATTATTAGCATTGCATTCGTCGAAATCGAGACGGAAAACGGCTGAATTTTCCCAATGCTGGCAAATTGTGCGCATTCGACCAGTGTGAGAGGGTCACTAGAGAAAGTTTATAATACCATAATATATTTTCAAACATAGAATGGCTACAGATCATTCCCATTTCAGACAGATTTTTAAAAAACTCTAAGAACCATTTCAATCATCCTGTCCCTTTGAAAAACTGTACATTTGCAGAAATACTTAAAACTACAATGTAAATACGCTTTAACTGATGGAACCCCCCAAAAATCAGCTTTATATACAGAGATTCCCCCTCGTATCTTTGAACCATTTAAAGGTTCGAAGGAAGCCAGTTTTCTGATTGGCCCCGGTTGATTTGAGCTTAAACCTTAGAAGCTAGCTACCAACATGTTTTCTTGAGAAGAGCATGTCCAGTGTTTCCTATATAATCATATTCACGGTTTTATTTCCAAGCATAAAGTAAGATTGCAGATAAATAATATCTTAAAATACAGGTTTAATAAAGCAGATAATTCATGTAAATAACTGCTGCTACTTTTTTACCTTTCCGGGTGGACTGATGCATGTTTTATTGACATTCTAGTACGAGAAACTCTCCTTCCTCGACCTACAAAGATGAAATGGCTTTAACGAGAGAACTAAAAAAGAGACAGTACATTGAGGGTTCTTATACAGGACTTCTTAAAGACCCATGTGACCAGTTTGAAATTTAAAAAAATTTGAAACAGAGTTCTTTACCGGGAAAAAAATTTTTTTAGTACCTCAGGGAGGTTTGAATACTATCAGAAACTTAATCACTATTGTAAATTCACAAGTAAGGAAAGCAAACGATATTAATCCGAAAATAAACATATTCGCAAGCAGATTGTAAGACGCCCATTTTCATAATATAGAGACAATATAGAGTCTAAAAAATCGCTCTTCAGATCGACAATATTCCAAGCATCAAGGGAAGCTGATTCCTAAAAAAATTAAATTTCTCTAAAAGGTGCCTGCAAAACGCTTTTGCCTTCATAAACCAGATTATATTGAAGATATTTCAATAATGGAACGTTGGACTAATTTACCTGGTAGATAAATATTGCTTGAAGATTTGGTTTATGTGACGATGTTGAAGTTTCGAAAACTTACCACGTGATGATGTTGAAGGTGATATAGTGGACGAGTGTGGTATCATATGAGGCATTTGTTGGGCTGCCAACTTATTTGGGTCTTTAGGTGGTCTTCCTGGTTTCCTAAAACATTCTCAAGATATTATATATGGGCATTCAAGGAAGGGAACGACAGGAAGAGAGAATGGGGAAGACGCTGAACACGCAAACGTTGCATCTCGAGTGGAAAATTAAGGTTTTAAGACTGGAATAGAATTTGATACTTTGTTGATTCTTTCATAATTTCAGCACATGGAATTATCCATTTCGTTCGGGAGATTCTGAAAAAATGTTGATTTATCTGGCTGTTACTGTGAGCTAAAGTAAAATGAATTAAATTACAACCTTCGATATACCCGGCCACCAGCAGTGTAAAATGGTTGATGCCCTGAGACCATATGTGGTTTTGCAGTTGCACTCGTGTTGTGTGTCCTTCGAGAATCGTATGAAGGTGCCTGTTCCATCTTTCTCGCTGACTGATGCTTTACAAGCTCCAAAGCCTCACTGAATGTCATTACATTCCCAGTTCTCCCAGGTATCGGTGGTGAGAAATGTGATGGCCTAGAGTGGTGCTGGACTTGATGGCCAGGGGAAGGGGACCTTAGTGGATGGTGCATTGCAACTTGGGGGTCTTGGTAGCCAGGATGATGTCCTGGCGGTGATGTGTACTTTGCCATGCTGTAATCAGGACTGTCATGAGGCAGACGACTGTGCCTAGGCTCAACTACCCGGTTTTTAGGGGGGCGACCAGGGGGTCTCTTGCCAGGTGCAGTAGCCCTGCCACTCTTAGGCTCATGCTTAAGTGTATCGATTGCCGGACCACCTGGTGTTGGATAAGGCGAAGATTGCATCCCGTATTGTTTAGCTCCTGGGCTAATTAGGCTTGTTGGAGATACGATTGGTGAATTTCTCTGAAATGCCATTTGATCTTCTCCAGCTCTCTCGACTTCATGTTTCTATCAAATGCAAGTAATTATAGATATAAAAACGCAAAATATGCAGTTAAATCAACAAAAATTGACTTTGCAAAAAGCTTTGTAGTTTTCATGAAAAATGTACAGAAACAAAATGCAAAAAGCTTAAATTTACCATACTTAAGGTAAACAAGAATTGCATTCTCTTTTAAGGTTACAGCCACAAATGCACCTATCAAACTTAAAAACATATCGCCACGTATACTATAAATAGTTGTCCTTATTTGAAAAATCAGGCACAGAATAGGGCTTTCCTATATTTCTCTTGGGTGCGAAAGGTCCATTGCAGGTTGAAAATCGAAGAAATAGACTGGGATTTTGCTATTGAAAGTAAAGTCAGCAGGCGAAGAATATAACTTACTATCTTTGCTGGTGGCGTCTGCTGGCTGTCAGTTCCATCCAACTGCTCTGGTTGCTTCTGTCTTTGATTTCTAAACCACGACGATTTAAATTGATCAAGTTTTTTTCCCTTGTATCTAACCTAGCGATAGAAAAATCAACCAAATAGCCTGGGCACAGACGCGAAAATTTTTGAAAGCGTAATATTTCAACAGACAATACACTAACCTTACGTTTTACGTTTACATAAAACATATTTATTGAAAGCTTGAAGCCATAGTTGTTTAAAATAAAAGTGCCTTTTTGTTTTAGGATGAGGAGTTATATTATATTAGACACAGAAAAGAAACTGAATTTTTGTCAATTTGCTAGGCCTCAAGTTTGGAAAAAACGGGGAAAACATTAATCGAATAATCACAATGTCCAAGTTAACCCCGTAGTTACACTGAACTTAAGAAATGAGAGATCTAGATATAAGAATGAGAGGTATGCTTGGGCAACTATCTCATATAGCAGTTTACTGATGATTTAACAGAAGTATTCATTGTCAACTTTGCTATTGCAACAAAAAGCAAAAATTCAAAATAAATCAGCTGATTTAATCAGTATCTTCAATGGTGTGATTTTTATTCTGTCCTACTACTTCAACATTGAAAGACAAGACATGGCCGGCTTAAATTAAAAAATGAAAAGTGCTTTATTTTCCCTAAGGTTTAAATTTATCTAGACAATGGGGAGTATTTTATTTATAGCACATGCTAAAAATCATGCTAGTGACAACGCTAAAAAATATGTTTCTAGACAATTTTAATTTGATCAACATAATCTGAAAGGACCTACGAAATACTTCTAAATATGCAAATTCAGTCAAATCTGCTTAAAATTGCCTAAGACATGAATTGTGAAAGAAATGAGTTTTTGCACATGGATTGCTGTTGTTTTTGCTCCTTTGCTCTAAACCTAAGCAAGCAAACAGAACCTAAGCAAACAGAATGATTTAATGAGCAAAGACTCTAATGTTTAACAAAATGGGTGAATGACTTAGTTTTGGTATTTCAAGGTGTCCATAGTCTTGGTAAACAATTAGAGGTACTTTTGGATCAAACCAGCAAAATTCAAACTATGTTCTTATTATATCATCAATTTGCTGCCTAATAGGACATTAATCTGAATAGATGAAAGGTTTGCAGAAGAACTCAAGAAAATAAAAAGATCTCAGAAAAAGTTAACAAAAAAGCATGTATTAAAAATATTCTAATACGTACTGAAGCCCAACCACAGCCAGACTTTTTGGTAGGATTCACAAGCTTCTTGCAGTACATTGCCCAAGATGAGGGTGAGCTAAATATTTGACCAGTTTCAGCCCATCGTATTTGGCCATCAGGCAGCAAATCACCTTCAAATTTACTTCCCTTTTAATTAAAGTAAGATAACTTTAGGTTTATTAAAAAATGTGAGGATCAAAGTCTGCAAGTAACTGCAAGCTTCTAGAAAGTTCACTTTTACATAGTAAATTACTGAGAAAAATTGATCAGTAATGAAATAAGTCATATTTCATACAAAATATATTATTATCAGATGTCAGAATGCTACTACATTGCGAAAATATCAAAAAAATTATCTGTTGTTTAAAAAGGCTAATTGTCTCTGGAGTGTAGCCTTTAGACAACACCTAGCAAAAATAACCAACTTGAAATGCAAAATGCACAAAACTTTTGCCCTTTTTGCGCAATTTCAGAAAAATTTTCTACTTCTCTTTACAATTAATTTAATTATAGAGGATTTTTAAAACATTGAAAAACCAATGATAAATCTTACCAAATAATCTATGGACAATAGTTTTTCCCCTGCTTGCAAAATGTCCTCATCAATAAGCATTTGCATAGTAACCCCCCTTCCTGTAAGCAACGAACCCCTGGGCCTTCTCCCCTTTTTCCCTGAATCCCGTTTTTCTGTTTCTTCTTCATCTGACAAATCCCCGTCTCCATCTTCATCTTCATCTTCGATATCCCCCTCTTCTACATCATCAGGCTCTATGTTGTCATAAAATTCGCCTCGAAGGTCTAGCAAAATCAATACAAAAAATATGAAGCCATCATTACATTGCAACTCTAGCAAATGTAAAATTTGATTTTATGAAAAACTTTCAAAATAATTCAACTTAAAATTGTAAAAGAACAGAAATTGAAAATTTATAACTTAATAAATGCTTAGCATTCACATTTGCTCTGCTTTAAAAACTGATGCAATTGGAAAAAACTTTGAAAAATGAAGCTAAATGAAAACCGATCAAAATGAAAACATAAGCATATATGCAGTGCAAGCAGTGAAAAAGATATTAGTTTTGAAAAAGCAAACAAATGGCTGTATCAACTACATCATGTAGAATGGGCTGAATCATTTAAGCAAAAAAGAGATGAGCACCAATCCTGTTTTATTTGCAAAGGATTTCTAATAAGTGAAAGTGAGGCAAAACAAATACCAAGTAGTAGGAATTTAGCCTTATATGTTCCTTGAAACCATGAAGGCTTTCTTGGTACTATTTATAATTTAAGGCTTTTTAGGGTATCATTTTTGAGTGGTATAAACGATGTAAACGATGAAAAGCAATGCTACTCTGTTGCTTTTCTTTAATGGCGCAAAGTTTGGATGATTGATTGGAAAAATTCTGCACTATGGATCGAAATAAAGCATCACAATGAAAATAGCATAGTGCTAAACATATATTTATTCACTAGAGTTCAGGGGCAGTTAGTAGTGGGGACCCTGAAAAATTTGCAGAAGTTGGTGACGAGTGTATGCGGTATAAAACAATTTCAAAAGATTTGGTGCCATAATGATGAACATCAGTTTTCACAACAAGGCCAAATATCAATTTGCTTTTTTTCTGATCGGGAAAATTCTCGGAGTTAACCATACAACTCAAGTGAGCTAGCCCTCCTCATGTAAACAGCCTCCTGCAAGCTTGAAGAAACGCTGGATGAGATTGCAGATTTTCTCAACAGCTACATGCACCCATTCCAAGTGAGCTATGATGGAGAATTTGCAGGGACATTTTACAAATGCACTGGGAAGACTGCCAGTACCTTACCGTGAAAGTCAGCATTCAACCCTTTTTGGCAAAAAAGCTTTTGGAGAGCATCTGGGAGGTGAAGTGTCAAGTAATCCCAGCCTTAGAAAAAATTTATGGAAGTCTGTTCTCCATTATGAATTTTCCAATCTATGCAAAATGGCAAGTCTTATCATGTTGATTTCTTCCTTAAACTTTAAGGTTGAAAGAACTTTTATCACCGTAAGTAACTTTCTGCCAGACACCTTTTTATCTCACACAGTACTTTAATGATAATTTGATTGTTTCTGGCAATAATTCTCTTTGGAATAAAGATGAAAAGGAAAAATTCATCAAGAGAGTGGGGAATTTATATTTGAAAACGAAACTGAAAATGGAAATAAACATTCAAAAAGTATCCAAACTCAGAAATAAATTGAAGCTCTATCACCGGATAATTCTACAGAGTCAGAAAGTGATGAGGAATTTGAGACAATTGGCCACTCTGTGATGGAACTTGAAAATTTTTAGCAAACAAGGTATTTTGTTCATTTTGAATTAAGCTTTTCAGTTTAAAAAACTTCATTATTTTGTGTCATTAATCAAATTAATTTTACTCATGCACCCCATACTGATCACACAAATTTTTTGTCATGCGAGCAATTTCTGAATGTGAAAGCCCTGGTCATATAACCCTGGCTATAGGGGTAAGATTAACAATAGTTTGATGAAAATTCTAAGTGAACAATTTCCACTCAAAAAAAAATATATATTAAAGTAGAGTGAAGGCAATATAGCTTAGGTGAAATCTGGCTACTGCACAAGTCTCAAGTTATTACTACTATTAGAAGTTGTAATATGTTTTTTAATACACACGATAATAGCTATTTTTCTTATGTACTATTTGTTTGCTCTGATGGTTAAATATGTCCACATATGAATGATTTTTGTCTCAGGGCCCATGCCAAGAATTTGAAAATGGGGGGGGGGGCAAGGCTAGCAAAGGAAGGGGCCAAGGCTTCTTTCCCCTTTTAATGCAGCTTAAAAACTAATTGCTTTGCAAAAAAGGGGGGCCATGGCAACCAGGCCCCCAGTGGCATGGGCCCTGTGTCTAACAAAACTTTCAGTCTCTTTTTCTGGTATTGTCATGTTCAACCAGTGGGCCAGTCTGCATAGTATGACAGTTATTGCAATGCAAATCTCTTTTTAACAATTACATAGTGTGTCAACAAAGGTTTTCCGTTGTAGAGCAAATGACTGAAAACACAAAGCTATGTCATTTAAAATATGTCATTTCCATCTTAAGCATTAAATTATAAAAGCAAACATTACTTTTCCAAAAAGAGCAACCCCCTCCCTAACCCCTTCCCCTCTTACTAAAAATTTCATGTCAGTCCTATTTTACAAAGTAGAATCAAGTTAGTTAGCTGTTCAGTTTGATCCCTTTCTGTGCAAACAGGATGAGTGAGAGTGTTCTTTCCATACTCAAATTCCACCCAACAATAAGAAGAATCACAGATCTATGCGAATTGTTATTCAATGTGTCGTATATCTTACCCATTTCTTTTACTTTTTCACAACTGCCGACCTTCCACCTCGTGTGGTCACCGAAGCCTTTGAAAACAGAAGCAAAGCAAAGCTATACTCAATTTGATAGTGAGGCTCAAACAAAATTGCCCGAGAAAAAATTCTTTGTTTTTCTTCTAAACCATCATCCGCCAATCCAAGATCGAATTCTTTCGTTGAAGATGAAATTGCTTTTCGAAAGCCATAGGAACTAGCTAGCTAAAATTTATTAAACAACAACAAACTTATCTTATTGTTTACATCATCAATTGTTCTTTATTTTCTTTTTTCTCTATAAATTCAGATTAATGCGTATTTCCAACAAAGAGGGAGGGGTGGTGTTTTAAAGAGGGCGTTTTGTCCAACTGTTCCTATATTATTTTATTTCATGTACATATGTAATTGATGCCAAGCATTCTAAGTGCAACCTGGGGAGATTGTCTGCAAGATATTTTCCGGAGAATTAATCCGGAGACCCAATCAATTTTACATGCCCAATCAAAGAAAATGAAAGAAAATTAAATATTGGTACACGCATCTAAGAGGTGATAATGAGAAAAACACCCGAGGGGGGGTACTCCCATTATGGCCTGACAGGGGGGTACGGTCAGGGTCAAAGAGGGCCAACGCTAAAATTTTAGAAAATTACCCTCAAATGGTAGTACTTTTTGACCAAACCCCTCAAACGGTAGCATAAAACCGAAACTATTTTCTTGGTAGCATCCACTGTGCTCTCCCGATCCTTTTTCTATAACAAATCGCAAGCTAAACTGAAATGGGCCATTTGGTAGCCATAAGGTAAGACCCTCAAACAGACTGGATCCCTGTCAGGCCTTAATGGGAGTAACCCCCCCCCCCCCCCCCCGGAAAAACAAGAGATGGAAATGTTCAAAAAAACATTGTTTGCTATAGTAAAAAGGGGTTCATATCATTCGCAAGTGCATTTCGAACGGGATATCTTGCAAATAAATGCACGCAAAGTATAATTTTGATAAAGAATTTCTACGGTTGAAAACACATTTCTATTCACCATTTGTGTTCAATGCATTCTTTATGTCTAGAAAGAATATCCTTATTTTATCTTTTTTGCAAATATCGATGAACTTTGACCAGGAACTCTGATAAAGTATTGAACATTCAGAGTTTTCAGGCTTTTGCATCCAGTTGCCAAGTGAAGTTAAAATACCAATGCATTAGTTTCACTGCTGGCTAGAATGCGTTACTTGTCCTAGGGCAAAAGCTCCAACCTGATTACGCTTTTATAGGGAACAGAAGATAACAATGAGGAGGAAGAAAGTGAAACGTTGGGCTTACAGATACATCTTAAAGCTGAAGAAGTAGAGTTGCTCACAGATTCCAGGGGTGGATCCTCATCAGAAAACGACTTTAGTACAGATTTATAGATGTATTCAATGTGCAAAAATGTGTTTTCTTCAAAAAGCGACTCTGATATAAATTGTTTCATTCCAACTCGATACAAACACCGGATCGACTTTTACAAAGGACATTGCCGTGAGATAGGCGTCTTTTCTTGTCACATGGAGCTGAATATAAGAGCTCATTGATAAAAATATAAACAGTTCGAGGCACAACTTCAAAAAACGAAGCAATTTATCGTGTTTTGTGCAAAAATGACAAGAATTTCGGAAGGTAGATAAACTTACATTTTAGGATTAATTACGAGTACAAAATTTGTTAACCTCTTGTTAATTTACACTTGTGAACTATACATTTACATTAAAATACATTTAATTTACGTAAAGTTAATTTATACTAGTCTCGTGCAGCATTTCATCAAATTAAGCTAAATTAATGTTCGAGCAGTTAGTCGATCCAAAATAAGAGTAAATTGGTGTGATATCTAGCAATAATGTAGATACATAGATATAAAATCAAGATACCAAACAAAGAATTTCAGTATCAAAAATTATGATAATTAAAATATTGGTAGGTGTAATGTGAATAATGAAAAACAAGTGCATATGTCTATCTACTGGATTTAAATAGCCAATTATTGATTACAAAGCAAGCAGTTTAAAGAATAAAGAGCCGAACAAATTTATTTCTTGACAGAAGGCCTTTGTCAAGAGCAAGTCGATTTCACAAATGATCGACGTAGCACTAGATGATGAAGTGAAGACGAGCTGGTTGGCAGCTTTTGAAAACTTAAAAGAATTGCCAAGTTAAAGTTCTTCTGCTGCAACCTCAAATATTTTCTGAAGCATCGAATATTTTTTTCTGCTCCAGGTAAACGGGATCGCAATACGGTAGCTTCATTCTTGCATGCAGATTTGCCGAAATATCAATCAATGACTTATGAAACTATGCATAACTATAGGGTGACATCGCCAATAGAGGGTTCTGAGCTTTGGCCCAAATTACCCAACCCCTCCCCTTACTTTAAGCTGGCATAATAACTGGTTACCGGCAAGATTTATCGAACAATTTTAAGACAGCTATCGAATCGTTATATATGAAAAACTTAAAGATGCTAGTGAGTATGCAAAAGAAATTGCAAAGTGCGCCATCAGTTGTACTTGACATTACGGGAACTTTGTTTTTGCTGGGGCATCCATATTGATATAAATTGGTTTTGCAGCAGACTGGATGGCTCGCGTTGCAAGGTACGATAACAAACCTTCAACTGACAGACTTTGCTTCAGCATTATATCTTTGTATGTCTTCGCTTCTGTCGCGTAAGCATTTGTGATGGCATCAGCTTCTGATTTGGCCTTTGTATTCAAGATTCGACCCTCTGTTTCTGCTGTTTGAATGGTAATGTTTGCCTGTGTTTCCGCTTCCCTTAACTTCGTAGTTGCTTCTGTGATTACGCGAGGACGTTCGCTCAAAGCAATTGCGATATTCTGTTTCGCGGATTCCTTCTCGCGAATCACTTTCTCGTATTCAGATGGTCGTTGAATGTTGTTAACCTAAAGGGAATTAAAAATTCATAGGAAACAGTTAAAAAGAACTTTTCATAAACAAACATTACTACCCGATACAGATTTAGCGGGTATACCAAGAGAGTTTTCAAAGCAAATTTCCTTCAGATTGAACGCTTTGCTCCGAAAAACCAATTACGTTTCCTATCTTCTAACCTAAACAGTCGAACTAAAGTACATAATATGTTCATGAAATTTGTGTGTCATTTGTGTAACATATCTGTTCTATGCAACAAAGCGTTTATAGCCCTGCCTTTACGGAATCGTCCACGATATGACAGGCGGGAAAACAAACATTTTGATTACTGAAACAATATATGAAATCATGACAAAATGATCTATGACAACAAGCATATGGTAAAACGCCTTGATGAGGGCTCCATTCACACTGCGTATTTGAAAACGGGGTAAAACCAATCTGTTTTTTCTTTGCGTTCACATTGCTCTGCTATGAAAGCGGAATCAGCTTAAAACGCAAATACAACAAATTTTATTCACAACAACATCTTTGCGGAGTTTTATAGCAGTTGTCATAGTTTTGAACTGAGACCTCTGTTTGAAAATGAGTCTACAAAAAGCGTGTTTGTTAGCGCTGTGTAAAAACTTTCCGTATTCATAGCGAATTCACTTGAAAACACATCAAAGTGAATGGACAACGTTTTCACCAATGAAAACGGAGAGAAACGAATACGGAGCTGTGTGAGCGTAGCATTGTATTCTCGGATTAATAAAGCACCAGGGAGCCTAATTTGAGGATTTAGGGTTAAAAATAATTTTAAAAGCTGAATTGGTGGTTTGACTTGTTCTTCCTTATTTTATCAATGGTTTTTCTTTAGAAAAATTATGTTCAAGAAAATAGAAAGTTTGAAAAAGAATTTCGTTTCGGTGTCTGTAAAATAATTTTTCCGCAAACATTTTAAAAGTTTTCTCAAAAACATAAATTGGAATTAGAGAAAATATGGCAAAAACTTCCAGAACATGAATTAATTCACTTAAATCGTTGATATTTTAGTGCTTTAGCAGACTTGCTTGTTACGCTCTTCTAGCCACCAGCATGGGAAATTACAACATAATCCTATGCAAAACATTAGCAATTTTCAAAGCACTGTTGTGTTGGGTAGCATGGTTAAGGAAATTGCTTTTGGAAAGGGACTGAATAAAAAAAATGAAAAATGGGACTAAAATATTCGTTAGAGGAAAATGACATAATAAAAATACATCAATACATCTTGGGTGTACATTGGAATAAATGGTCAGACAAAAATGAAGGGTTTACACACCTGAACATCTGATATTATTCCATTCAAAACAGCAAGCTTTTTAGTCAGCTTATTGAATATGTTTGTCTTGAAGTTCGCCCTTTCTGTTTGGAATTGTGTAACATTGAATTCACTACATGAATCATGTATAGCTGATGAGGCAACGTGTCTACAAAAAAATTTTAAAAGGTACTCGTGATATTCTAACAAAATTAAAAAATTAAACAAAGCTGGACTGTTTCATACTCCATTTCAGGACTAGAAAAATTGCTGGTGGGACAAGAGTTTTTTTAGCCAGTTTAAATTCAAGTGCAAATTTTAACACTCCTGTGCATTTCATGAAGTCAAGAAAGGCAAATTTTTGGGTGCCAATAAGTCATTTTAATGCAAAATTTTAACACCTTGCCTAAAAATGTAAAGGATTGAAGAGAATGGACAAGCAGTGGAGAAAAAATGTGTATAGTAAACTAGACATCTAGCAGCAGGAGCAGTTAAAAATTTAAGTTTTCTGTTTTTCTCAAGTTCTTATCTTTAATGCATACATTGCATACTTTCAAAACTGGCCCTACTTTCAAATTATCAGTCCACTGGGGGTCACAATCAGGGTAATAAAGAGTCAAAGATTGAGATTCTGATTTTAAGAAGAAAGCAAAAAGGACTTATGACAGCTCAGAATTTCAAACAAAACAATATGCAATCATTTGGGTCAAAAATCGTCTGGTTTCAGACCTCCCCTACACTACAGTAAAAAATTACCCAAATGAATGCACACATCTTACCTGGCCTTAATATAAATAGGTATGTTACACTAATGAAAGGGTGTCATCAATAAATGTTGTCTTTTTATTTGATGTATAGATAAAGGAAATGAAGGTTATACATAAAAATTCAGACAGTTGCAGTCCTTTTCGTGAGCAAAATTACGCGTGTGTGGCAAATCGCACATGTAAACAAATTTGCGCGTGCGATCGCACTTGTAAGAAAATTTGAAGTACAAACCTGATAAAATTGGTAAAAGGAGCAAGAAGGAAAAAGCAACTCGAATACGTGCAAGAGCAAAACTCAATTAATCAATACATAACAGATTTTGTTGCCCTTAGCAGCCATATTTTAGAAGTCGTCGTAACTCTCCAAAGTTACAAGAGCAAGTAAAAATTGTTTCCAACAGCTACTTGCTTTCAGGGCCTAATTACGTTTTGACAGGAAATCAGTTATTACACTTAACATGCTAATGGCGACTTAGCTGAAAGACGAGACGCTAAGTTGAATGGAGCACTCAGTCAAAAGCCAAACATCACTTCCGAAAATTGGAAAAATCATTTTGTGTTCAAAAGTGCGAATCAAGTAACAAGGGAAAGGATAAACAATCATGAGACCATGGGAAATTGATGTTAAAGGGCATGACTTAAAAGTTAGCATCTGGTGCGTGTATTATGATAAAGTCATTGTTTTTGAAAAAATTCCAATTAGTTTAGAAGTTGTAAGGCTTTAAAGTTGCACCTTTCCGAGAAAAAAAACGACAAAAGCCGAATCAGTTTGGTGACATTCTGACGTCACAATGTGCGGCTCTCGTTCGCCATGAATTTCGTATATCTTCCACCGAAGCGTGAAGGACTCATGGTCATGCGTTGATAACTGCATCCAGTTCCAGTTCCTGTTCCAGCTCTTCCCTCGCGTATAATTAATCGAAATTGTCACTTCAGTTGTTCTCCAGAAACGATGAACAACTAAAGGCTTCAGAATTGGTGTCTGAAATGCTCAAACTAAAAGCTGGCGGAACAGAACTGAAAGTACCATCACTTGCAGTGTTCAATTTGCGAATCGCCGTCGTTCGATTCGGTTTGAGGCGAGACTATCCGAAATACACTGCAACGTCAAAATTGCGTCACAGTGTCACCAAACAAAAAATTTTTGTCGGTTAATTCAATTAAATTATCGAAATGCAAGAGCTTATATCTCACAAACTGTAAAAAAATATCGAAAAACAAATAACGAATTCGTGATCAGCAGGCTCAACTTCTTTATAAAAATTGCCAATAAAATGCAAGTGCAAAATTTGGCTGGAGAGGCCCTTTAACAGAAAACTGCAAAAACACCTGTTTGCGCGTGTGGTCAAAAGCACGCGCAATTTAACTTGCGCGTGTGCAGGCGTGTGCGGGTGCGATCGCACGCGCTAAACGAAAAGGACTGCAGTTGCCAAGACTATTGCAATCAGGTATGTTTGTTGCTTTATACGTATTCAAATCATATGTTGTACATGGACTTTAACCCATAGTTTTCAGAACAGCTTTCAAGCACTCTAACCACTGAACCATTCAACCTTGAACATATTTCAAGCAATACAATACATGCCAAAGTGTTTAATATATAAATTTTAAGGCAAGAATTGACTTGATCTAAAACTATTAGAATATCTAAATTACACCTACCTCAGCACTTTAACATAAATATCATGATTCTTAAATTCCATAATTAAGTTCTTGATTCCTTTCTCATTGGCTTTGTATTGAAACTGGACACTAAGTTCAATTGTCAACCCATCTTTGTTAAGACACTTCAGCTTTGAAAATGAAATTGTTTTAAAAACTTTTGGAAACTTTATGAATTCATAGCCAGGAGGTCCAAGATGGAGGCCCTCTTGAAGTATGTCACTTCCAAGCTTGTTTTGGTGAATGTCATATTTGATGCCAACTGGAAAGGAACAAGTTAATTCCTTAGTGCTCATACTATTTTAGAGGAAAATAAAAACTATAAATTTTGAGATTAGGTGATTGGTGGTAAATAAAAAATATCAAATGTTATGTGACATAAAAATATAGCTTTCTATTTATTTTCTATCAAACTTTGAAAATTTGAATGACAAGGTTTATAAATAGAAATATCTACCTTCAAAAGTTCAAACACTATTAGTAAATGTTAGAGAAAAATAAATTGTGTTTTTAACAAAAACCACAAATTTTAAGTTGTTGGGAGTGCCAAAAACACTAAGAAACATTGTATATTCGGTCACATCTATCTTTACAAACATCTCAATATCAATTGGCTTTAACATCAGTTGAAGTTATTCTACCATATTTATGTTGGTTCAAGACTCATTGAAAAAACATGGGGGAGCATCAGGGGGTATTGAGTGTATATCATAAAGCAAGATTTCAACACCGGCTCATGAACTGGGGCTAGTGGGACTCAGCCCCACCAAAGATATTCAAGGATAACTTTTAGATTTATATAATTAAATTAAAAATAATTGATTATAATTTTAGCACTGTTTGCTAACTTTGTTGCACTGAGTTTCACTATTTGGCCATTCTTTAGCTTGCTTAGGTATTTTGAAAACTAGACAAGAATGTGTATCAGAAACAGGGGCTAGATCTCTGGGGCTAGCCCCAGACTAGAAGAGAATGCACAAATCAAGTGCTTCTCATGACAGGACTATTCAATTGAAAATGCCTTCTGATTAGTCAATTCTGCATATTCTGTATTCTTTTGGAGCTAGCTGAAACTAGTCCCAAGTAATTCAATTTCAACAGTAGTTGAATAAATGTTGTTTTGATAGGCAATGTAGATCTTGAAGTGGAACACAACTTGCATTTTCGGCTTGAATATTTTGAAGATAAGTATCGAAGTTAAGTCTTCAACAGAATCCCTTCTGCTGACCCTCAAATACAATTAAAAATGGGAAGGTTAGGCCATAGGCCTTTTCATCCAAGGGGCATTTCCATACATGATTACAGAGAAGTCTTCTAACACAAGAAGTATATTAAATGCTTAATTCAAATCAATGCTTTCGATCTGAAAATTTTTTGCTTCACAGCATATGACAACTAATCAATGAATAGTTTCAACTTTTTGGTTCTGTAAAAAAATTCCATTGCTATGCTATGCCAAAGATATTGTCTACAAGTTGGCAAAATTCAGGGTATTCATGTTTTGATGGAAATCACCCACAAACTCATCTTTTTGTTCTGAGAGAGGGCAGACTTAAACAAACATAGTCCCAATTTTGGATTAATAAGACATTATTGATATTGACACTTGCTCTTTCAATTAAAACTTTCAAAATGATGATAGCCTTGTTGACCAGAAGAAGTAAACAAGGAAAACGTTTTTATCATTTTTGGCATTGCATGTCAATGGCTTTAGACTTTGAGCATTGCATCAGCACCACCAAATAATTACCCCCAACGAACCACCATAATAATTACCACCTGGCCAGTATGGATTCCATGGCAGCATGAATCTTTCTCGAGAAATTCTATAAAATTACGGTTGCACCCTTGCACACCCAAAAGATGGGCATGGTTTTGATTGTGGCTCAAATTAAAAAGTTTTTTCAAATATAGCAAAATGAGTTCTAAATTGAGTGATCCTTTCGAGATCAGCACTGCCAAGAAGACTGAAAAATAATGCCCCTTTTCGTGACCCCACTCTTTAGTTTAGCTCAAAATACACTGCAGAATATATTTTGCAGTCATTATCTTACAATGGTTTAAAACGTTTTGGATTTTCCTTTACTTGCCAAACTTTCAGGAATTTTAAAACAGCCACTGATGGTAGAGGTAGGTAAGCATAGTTCAACTCTCAATCACTGAATTCCCCTTAGATGTAAAATTGATGTAAACAGGATATTAAGTGCTGCAAAAAATTTCCACCCACAAAAATCACTGGGAAATTTGTTGCACACTCAAATTTACACAATTATATCAAATGCACTCTTGGACTCCTGGATAATAACTTGTGCCTTTTCTAGTTCTTGTGATTGCTTTATAAGAAATATTTCGCGAGCTATGTGCCATTTTAGTTGAAGTGCTTTTACTGTAGAGGTTCAAAAACTATTGTTTGAAAAAAGTATTTGAAATATTTAAAAATATTAACATACTGCACGGAAAATATGGCACTTTCACGCCCGAAATCTTGACAAACACAACAAACGTACTACTAAAACAATGGGAGAACTTCCTTGTAAGCATGAAATCCCGGAAAAATGGATATAGTTCAACTTCAAGTATAGTAGGGTTTAACATAAAAAATCATCTTAATGGGTTTAACTCTTCTAAAGATAAAATATTAATTGATACCTTTTAATTCAATGTCAATTTCGACTGGAAAATTATTAAAGAACACAAGCACACCATAAAGTCAAAGTAGGCGATGTAAATACCAGATGTTTGTTAAGGCCAATTTCAAGGAATTTCAAATAAAAGTATGAATGTCTCATTATATTACCTTCTTCGCTACTTATTCTTCTGAATGAACTTGCCAGCAACCCTATAACGATTGCTAAAATGACTACAATCACAGCAAGGACTATCTTTGTTTTGGACTCCATCTTGGCCTGTCTCTTCACTGTTCCCACACCCACTCCACTGAGCTCAGCGAAATCACGAAATTCTGTTTTCCCTAGCCTCGCTCACTTGATTCTCGTTTGCAACCACGAACCCGCAAACCACAAATGGAAAAATTTATATAACAATTTCGATTAGGTCAGCGAAGATGCAAAAACTGATTTGTCAGCAGGTTCGTTCATAGAATAAAACCCCGGGGGACATAATAGTTAAGGAAATTTATAAACAAGAAATAGGTTATGCAAGAATACACGCATTTTTTATAAGAAACAGGTTATAAGAAACGATAGGCTCAATTTTTCGAAAGTTAAGAAACAACCCTATCAAAAAAAGCAAAGAAACTTTTATAATCTGCAGTTTTAATTTTCCGAGTTGACACTGGAAACAATCTTGACATTGAACACTACACTTGACATGCAGTTTGCATTCATTCTCAGTAAATTGCACACTCAAGAAGTTTCCGTTTAAAAATTTGTTTTGACTTCAACTTGACATTGATGAAGTTCGATGAGCTTAACTGTTTAGCCACCCCCCCCCTGTTTACAGATCTGGACAAAGTTAGTCATTCTAGGAAAACAAAATTCCTTGACCACTTCGTTAGGGCTCTATTTCAGAATTGAAAATCGTTTCTTCGGACCTTCGCAGTATAATTCAACAGGCTTTCTATCCTGTCAACCTCGAATTTGAACATGTATGTTCTTTGGCCAAAAGCATGATGGAGAGGAAGCAGAAATCTCTGCTTTCCTTGGGCTTCACCAAGAACATATATCATCATGGCAAATGGATAGCAATAGAGCCAAAAGACCCAGCCACATTGAAGACAAATTTCTGCGTTGACTGTGACAATGTATTTCAGACAAAGGCAGCCTTGTAAATGCACAGGCATTGTGCACATGATGAAGATCTTGGGGAGACATCGACATCCCTGGAAGCCCCTTCAACACATCATCGTTTATCGTTCTTCGAATTAGCACATTACATTAGTTTATCTCTGGGTGTGAGTGAACTATTTACTTTACCTTGGAAGGATGTTTAAAAAATTTATTATCTATGAAATTTGAGAAACATGTAAGAAACTTTTGATAGCAAAATGGTCAGAAATTTAGAAAACTGCCTACCAGCACCATACCTTAGTTTCTTATAAAAATACGCGTAGCTTACTCTGTTCTTAAGGCAACCTCCCGGATTTTCATCCACTTTGTTATTATTAAAAAATTCATTTGAATAAAAAATTTATAAGTAAGTGCGCCTCCACGACAAAAAGGCGCAGCGTCTTTTCAGAGTGTTTTATAGATGCCTGGCAACAAATGAAAAAGAAACATAGCAACAAAAAGCTGGTGCAGCACTTTCAAACGTTAACAAGAATCAAGAAGTAGATTTTGTGTAAAGAAGCAGTTTCCTGCCTGTCAAGAACAGGTCACTTGTAATACAGGCATTAGCAAGCAAAGTTCATGAAAATATTTCCTTTTGGATTCCTACGAACGCCAACTCGTACATCAACAATTATGCCCGCAACTGGAAAGCAAAAAACTGGTTTCATTCTTGTAATTGTTGTTGTTGTTGTTAGTGTTGTTTTGATCCGTTCCGTGTATTCAGACCTTGAATATTACGAGGTAAGTTTGAAAAATTGTCCGCTTTCAAATGTAGCTTTTGGCACTTTTGTTGTTAAATCTGTTACTTCTTTAATGGAAAGCTATTTCTACCTGTTCTACCTAGCTGCGAAAATACCATATCTATGGAAACTATATAAGAAAACGTAATGAACATAAATTATGTAATAGATACGGTCGACTGTATCCCTGGCGAAATCACCAGAGTTTTCAAATTGTTCTGTTTCATTTTTTCATGATACTTTGATGGAGTGGCACTAAGAAATTGTAAAATTTCCATTTTTAAAAAAAACCCAAAAGATTTGTTATTCTGTTGATATTTCTTTGGAAAAATAGCATACTTTTGAATTTGATCTGCATGGGTTTCTTTCGAAACGATCTGCGTTTATCTTTCTCCAAAAATGCCCAACTTCACAACAATAAGAAAGTTTAAGGTCCCAAAGATAAGAAACCAACTGAGAGAGTTTTAGCAGTATAACGCCAAAATTTCGATGCCAAATTGAGAAACTTTTAGTACTTGGTGCTGATCCAAATTTCGTATAAAATGAAAAAGTGTACGGCAAGCGAAAGAGATACAATTTACCAAAGAGTTGGTTTCGCTTGTTTCATAAATTTAGGAAAGTATTCTCTCTTATAGCCGCTTTATCTAAGCCAGCTTTTCACAGATTTAATTTCTATAGTGTTCTTTCATATTTTATAGTTCAAAATACAAAATGCCTTTTGACGCCACCACTCGAGGGAGGAGTGGGAGAGAATCTAATAATTTTTTATTGTATTTTATTTTCATTATGTTTCTTGAGGAGGGATAAGCAATATTTTCAACTTTAGATGGGATTTGTGAAGGACCTGTTCACAGGAAAAGTTGACAGAAGCAAGGTATATTTGGGTGGCCGCCATAACATTGGAATCAGCAAACTCTTTAAGAAGTTTCCAAAGAACATACAGATCTTGGACTTCAACCTGAGTGTTTTTAATGCAGAAAAACTGGAGGTAAGCTACACACTTTTTTATAAGAATAAAGTCTATAAAAATATTGAGGCTCAAAATTGCTAAAATTTAAGAATAACTTTAGAATAATGCCAGGCTCAACCTTCATCAAGACTAAAAATTTTCCTAAATCTGAATTTCCTCCCAAAGCAAAACAACTGTCATTTTGTCGCTATATGTATGTGTGTGTGTGTTTTAAAATACACTCAGCTGCTCTGTGAGTAATTTCCGCGATTTCTGTGAGTAATTAGGGCGAATTTACACCTTGTGTTGGGCAAAGCTAATTTAAGAATAATCTTAGGCTCAGAATCGAAAATTTTACTGAGGCTCGGCAAAAATTTAGGTATTATTATAAAAAAAGTGTGTATGCGTTAACGAGAATAGATGCTTGGCTTTTTGAGCAACCTGCTGCGGTTAAAGGTATTCATCCTTTATTTCACACTAGGGACGTCCGAAATATTTTAAAAAAAGGTTACCTTTTGGAATAGGGCATTTTCATAAAATTTAAGGGGGCACATCTCCCTGGTGCAATATCGATTCCGACGTCCCTGTTCAAGACAAGATAAATTTAACATTTAACATCGAGGGGTGTAGTGCTATTAAAAAACAAAAAAAATGAAAGAATTGGAAATTGGTCAAGTGGCTCTCTCAGCTCTACACCACATCTAAGTTAATGAGAGAAATATTAACCGAGTTGTTAAGGCCAATTCTTTTTATAACCTCTTTTGATACCAGAAACTTCTTATGTGTTAACTCTATCGACCTTGCTTGCATTGAGGTATTTATTTCTGGTGTCATTCTGTATGAGCTGAACAAGGACGAGCTGAAACACCTTCACGATGCCTATGATCTTGGCTACAAACCTATTGTTGATAAGATAGCCTTAGAAGCGGTGATAAACGCTGCCCCAGTGTTTACAGTTCAAGAGTACCGTCTACAAAGAAGCAAAGTAGAGGCAGAGTTATACGGATCTGTCAAAAGGACACTACAAGGAACGTGCTGCCCGAAGTACAACGGAACGTTCGCTGCTGTCCCTGGATGCAAAAAGTACGAAACATGCACTGTGGCAGACAAGGGATTGTTCTGCATAGTCAAGTAAGCTTCAATAGCATATTACAAGTGATTTAGACTTTATACACGTAAAATTCTAAAACATGTCACTATCCGGTGACGGTTGATGGAACTAAGCTGAAACTTGAATGGATCAGTGTGCTTGTATTAGAAATATAACTGTATTTCAGATTCAGTTTTTGGTCGGATTGAGGTCTGGGTCTTTTCCTAACCTGTCATTTTTATTCAAATTGTAAGAGCTGAATTCTTTCCAATCAAAAAAAGCTTAAGATGGGCTTCTTTTGTCTTTTTCTCGATGTAGGCATGTTTAAAACTGTCATATTCGTGAAATGTTTTATATCAAAAAGTTAGTATACTTGATTATTCCATTCTTCGTATGCAGAAAATCTTTATCATACTGATAAAAAATCATTAATTTTATGAGAAGTCACTGGCACAAGGGATGTTTTGCTGGAAGCAAAAGCCATACTTCCTTTCCAGAATATGATATACCAGCTCATTGCAATTGCAAATCTGCATAGCTACATATTTCAACATAAACACGTACAAAAAATTGATATTTCTCTCAGGAACTTCCAGCTCGAAGTTGTAAAAATAACAAAAGACCAAGAAGACCGTTACCTGAAAAACGTGCTGGAACAAGAGAAGTTGCAAACAGAGCAGTATGATCAACAAGAAAAGGTATTGTATTTAAAAAAAAATACATTTTATTAAAAGAACATCGAAATCGAGTTCAGCCTGGGTGTTTCTTACTTTTATCTTCCTTTCTCCAGCCAAAAATACTCCCTATTTTCTCGAATCTAAGTATCGTGTTCTTATAATGGCTGTTTCTTAGACAAAATCAATATGCTCACATTAAATCAGATGTTCTTTGTTTTGAATGCTTCACACCAAGCTGAACGTCTCTTTAACTCCAAATCTTTGTCACTCGAAAGGAGCTTTTATTGTTGAGTGTTGAAACTTCAAAGGCATTGACAGTTCTACCGTTCATTTATTTTTCTCGTCTTTTCCCCAATGTTAATTTTATCTTCTAGATGGAGAGAAAGGTGACAGAGCAGTTGAAGACAAAAATCTCAAACGAGGCCAACGAAGTAGCACAAAAAGCCAGCGCACAGTCTGCCTACATCAAAGCCGCTGCACAGGCATCTGCCAAAGCGACCAATGAAAACGCGCGGAATTCTGGTCTACAGCTGATTTACACAACGCTGAACATCACCAGCGAGACAAACAAAAAGTCACTTGATTATTTGAGAACATTGCTCAATCACAAAACAGGGATGTTTTATGTTGGATTTTCAACTCTTATTGGAAGGGAAGGAAATACGTAGGGTATCACATGACAACGGAGCCAGTCATGTTTGCAGCTGGCCAGAGTTAAAAACTGGCGTTTGTTCGTTGGCGTTTGCTTCATTCCAGCTTCAGAAAACTTCCATCCCTAGCCGATTTAAATTGTATATCGTTGTGCATGAAATGATTTTACGGAAAATGCGGGAATTTTACACTTGTAAAACGTGTTCGCATCTGAGACAGTGTAAAGTCTGTCCTCCTACTGCTCTCTTAAAAGATAGTTGGGCATTGGCTCCTAGATATCTAATAAAGTATTAATCAACCATGTATATTATATTCTGAAGTTTAATTTATGCTGATAGTTATTTTGTTAAGCACCTATGATCAATTTTATGTTTTTGCCAGATTATCACGTGTAAAGTATACTTTGAAATGTAATTTTATGTCAATATTTATGTTGTTAAGCGCCCATGAGCCTTGGGAATAGATGGTGCTGTAAAAATGCCCATATTATTTATTATCATAATTCCATACAGTTAAGCCTGTTAGATACGCGATCTCTGATAAGAATTCATACTCCTGATACTTCCAAATAATTACTTTGATAATTGACATTTCCAGCTACAAACATTTTTCCTTAGAATTCTTCCCATTATTGAAACCCATGTAGCTAGCTTCTTATTTAGAGCAAGGCAACCAGCAGAACGTTTCATATGAAACTTGCCAAGTGCTATTTTTCAACTCTGGTAACCCATTGGCAGGCGGGCTCAGTCAGTTGGTCCAATGTATATCAGGTGTGTTCCTGAAAGTAGAAATTGGACCCTACCTTTGATTATGGGTTGCGTAACATGTACCCTTTTCTCTGACTTTGCCAACATTTCTATCCCTTTTCACTGGGAATACTCAAGCTTGAGCAGGTATTTTTGAAACCAATTTATGCACGAACCATTCTTTTTTTTAAAATTATGTCGGAAAGCATATCAAAGAACAGAATTCACTAATTTTGATTTTAACAACAATCCCTACTGCTCCTGATGTATTTGAATAAAACCAGACAGCTTTAAAACTATAACTGCAACAAATTTCTTACTTCACAACATCGTGTTCGATGTTTTTATAAAGAAATGGAAAGTTGTGTCAAATTGACTTAAATTTCTTATCTAGGACTATAACAATGGAGAAGACCAGATGCTACTGCAAAATTGTTTGTACTTCAATAGCCATTGATCTACCTTAAAAATTATCTGCACCATCATATCTGTAAATTCTTAGCCTCTTTGTAGTTCCTCTAACTGAGTAAAAAAAGCAACCCTGTTTTCAAGATTCTATGTCCCAGAATTCTAGCTTCCAGACCACCGTTTGTCAGAGTTTTTCGAAACTCAATAGACGTTTGACCAACTGACTGAGCCCGCCGAGCCCATTGGCCAGTAAATAAATACAATGAAGGGATGTAGTGTATGTGTACGCAACTAACGTTTCAATACGAAATAGGAATAGGCAACCATTGGGTATGAGATATTTTCAAGCGACGTAAAAAGAACACAAATCAATGGAAAGGAATTGCATTGTTTCGCGAACTCGTAATTTCATCTGAGCAGATTTCCCAAAACGTCGCAACAATCTTTCGTGTCTTTAATGAGCAAAAACTTTTGTTTTTTCAATGTTCCGAATGCTTTTGTCATGCTATGTTGATTTGAAAAAAGAGAGACTTGACACTTTCTTTTCTTGTCCTTTTGTTAAACGACAACCCAAGTCTTTTGTCAGTATTGATAAGCCATTGTCATTACTCCTATTGTCTACTGGTACCCATGATGGACCCCTTCGTTTATTGTTTAAGCACTCAATTTTTAGCATTCAAGACATTGCTTCTATATAAAAGGTTTTCTATATCAAAGTAAATTCAATACTCTAACTTCAAGATATCGTTAAGGAAGTTTTCTGTTGTGCAACTCCTTTCCACAAACAACTTTCCGGATTCTATTAGACTTTGTAACTTTAACAAAAAATTATTAGTAACTACGCCACCGCGGCAAAAAGGCGCAGCACTTTTTCAGACTGTCATAGATGCCAGGCAACAATGAAAAAGGAACATAACAACAAAAAGCCGGCGCAGCACTGTCGAGTAAAAAAAGCCAGGAAAACTTTCATCCGTAAAGAAGCAGTTTGTTGCTTATCAAGCATCTGTTACTTGTAATAGGGGCGTAAGTAAGCAAGGTTCATGAAAATATCTCCTTTTGGATTCCTACGAACGCAAAATCGTAAATCAACGATAATGGCCGTAACTGGAAAGCAGAAAATTGGTATCATTCTTGTTATTGTTGTTGCTGTTGCTGTTTGTGTTGCTCTGATCTGTTCCGTGTATTCAGATCTTGAATATTACGAGGTAAGTTCAACAATATGGTAACCTGTCCGCTTTCAAAATGAGGACATAGCAAGCCATATCTAACTATTCTATGATATGTATGGAAACTACACATGGAAACGTGAATGAAACACTGTTTGTAACAGCTACGGTCGACAGTATCCATGGTGTTTAATATGTATTCTTTATTTTTCATGATACATTGATTTTGGGAGGGGGGTGGGGGTCATGATTCTTTCTTAGAAAGAATGTCACCATAATCTTTTTTGAAGTCACAAAATAATTCACAAAATAATAATAAATGGTTGGTTTGGCTTGGTTTATAAATTCAGAGCAAAAACCAAGCCAAAACAATCGGGAAGTAGCTTTTCCCTTTGCGGCTATATCTATGCCAATTTGAATAGATGTGTTTTAAATAATTTTCTCTTATATTATAGAGCTTAAATGAAAGAATTATTTTTGACTTGTTACTCGTAGAGTAGAATAGTATCTTATTATGCTTGATTTTGTTTATTCTGATTATATTTCTTGAGGAGAGAAGGGTGACATAAGCAATGTTTTCAATTTAAGATGGGATTTGTGAAAGACCGGTTCACGGGAAAAGTTGACAGAAGCAAGGTATATTTGGGTGGCCGCCATTACATTGGGATCGGCAAGCTATTCAAGAAATTTCCAAAGAATATGCAGATCTTGGACTTCAACCTGAGTGTTTTTAATGCAGAAAAACTGGAGGTAAGTTGTACATGAGCGAACATAAATTCTTGGTATTTTTATAACCAGCTGCAGGAATATGTGTCGTATCCTTTATTCCTAACCTGGACTTTGGAACTATTTAAAAATATCAAAGAGGCTGGCCCTTAAGCTCCCCCAGCTCTACGCAACATCAGCACGGTTAATGAGAGCATTTTTCACACCCTATTTTGATACCAAACAATTTTGAAATTATCGCGCGCTTTTTCTCGTGCTTTCCTAGTGAAATAAGTCCTAACAATGACAAAGACTAAACGCTGCCTACCAATTTAAGAGGTCTATATTATCTCGTTTAAAAAGTTCTCACTTATATCAAACGAACCCTAAAGATTGTCCAATTTCCCCAAAGAAGTTTTGTGAAGTTTAACAAGCAATTCTGGCTTAATATCTAAAGTAGGAGCAGATAAAACTAAATTCCATTGAACTTTTGAAGTGTTAACTCTATAGACCTTATTTGTATTGAAGGTATTTATTTCTGGTGTCATTCTGTATGAGCTGAACAAGGACGAGCTGAAACACCTTCACGATGCCTATGATCTTGGCTACAAACCTATTGTTGATAAGATAGCCTTAGAAGCGGTGAAAAACGCTGCCCCAGTGTTTACAGTTCAAGAGTACCGTCTACAAAGAAGCAAAGTAGAGGCAGAGTTATACGGATCTGTGAAAAGGACGTTGCTAGGAACGTGCTGCCCGAAGTACAACGGAACATTCGCTGCTGTTCCTGGATGCAAAAAGTACGAAACATGCAATATGGCAGAGAAGGGAATGTTCTGCATAGTAAAGTAAGCTTCAATAGCATATTACGAGTGATTAGACTATTTACACATAAAGTTCTAAAACATGCCACTAGCCGATGACGGGTAATGGAACTAAGCTGAGACTTTAACGGATATAGTGATGTTGTATTATGTATTTCAGATTCAGTTTTTGGTCGGGTTTATATCTGGATCTTAGCCTTCTTACCAAGAATTTCATCGAAATCCTAAGAGTTGAATTCAAACCAAGCAAAAAAGGCTTGAGATAGCCGTCAAAATTGTTTTGATCGAGTGAGGTATGTTCAAAACTACCCTGGATACCCTAGCCATAAAATCGCGGATGCAGAAATGGAAATCAAAGCGGAGTTGTGGCAAAGCTGAAAAGCCTCCGCTTTTCCGGCTCTTCGGTCCAGGGTTGTTCAAAACTATTGTAATTGTCATAGGTGTCATATCAGACGGTAAGCATAGGGGTAAATTCAACTATTTTTTAGAAGAAATTCTATATCATTCCGGAAAAAAGCTAATTTTCTTTTAGGGACGTGATTGTACCAAGAGGAGTTCCCAACCCATTGCCTTAGCAAAAGTACATTTCTAAATAATCATTCTCTCAGGAACTTCCAGCTCGAAGTTGTTAAAATAACAAAAGACCAAGAAGACCGTTACCTGAGAAACGTGCTGGAACAAGAGAAGTTGCAAACAGAGCAGTACAAGCAACAAGAAAAGGTATTGCTTCTTGCTTCTAAAAGAGAAGACATTTCATTAAAGGAACATAGAAATCGAGTACAGCCTGGGTGTTTCTTACTTATATCTCCCTTTCTCCAGCCAAAAATACTCCCTATTTTCTAGAATCCAAGTATCGTGCTGTTATAATGGCTGTTTCTTAAATAAAACAACAATGCCGACATTAATTCATATGTTTTTGCTTTGACTGGTTCAAACCAAGCTGCACGTCTTTCTAATTGACACTCGAAAGGAGCTTTTATTGTTGAGTGTTGAAACTTCAAAGGCATTAACAGTTCTACCGTTCTTCTATTTTTCTCGTCTTTTCCCCAATGTTAATTTTATTTTCTAGATGGAGAGAAAGGTGACAGAGCAGTTGAAGACAAAAATCTCAAACGAGGCCAACGAAGTAGCACAAAAAGCCAGCGCACAGTCTGCCTACATCAAAGCCGCTGCACAGGCATCTGCCAAAGCGATCAAAGAAAACGCGCGGAATTCTGGTCTACAGCTGATTTACACAACGCTGAACATCACCAACGAGACTAACAAAAAGTCACTTGATTATTTGAGAACATTGCTCAATCACAAAACAGGGATGTTTTATGTTGGATTTTCAACTCTTATTGGAAGGGAAGGAAATACGTAGGGTATCACATGACAACGGAGCCAGTCATGTTTGCAACTGTCCAGAGTTAAAAATTGGTTAAATAAAAAACTCTTCGTTTTCGTTAGCTTCAGCCCAGCTTCATTCCATCCCTAGTCGATTTGTATGATATTTTAAGGAAAAAATGCAAGAATTTACACGTGTTAAAAGTGTTCGGATCTAGAACCTAGTGGTCCTTTGAAATCGATCTTCGTATCTACTCTCTGAAAAGATCGCTCTGAATACGTGTAAATTACGTAATTGATGTATAACCTTATTATTTTGAAATCTTCAAATCAATTTTAGACCGAGGAAACCAGCAGGAAGTTGTATCAAATGAGACCGGCCGCTTGCTTTTTTTCAACTCTGGTAACCAATTGGCCCGTAAATAAATGATTTCAAGTGGAATGTAGTGTTAAGCTTATAGAATGAGATGCATTCAAAGCAAGGGTTTAAACCCATTATAATTACATGTATGCAGGTATCGTCTTAATATGAAGCGAGAACTTTTGGGTGTATCAGCGAACAGCTCTAGATTTTATTGGAAATAAACTTTAACCTGATTTATTTTCGGTCGGAATTTCATTTTGAGCCATGTATAAATTTTTCTGTGGGCTTGATATATTTACCTCCCTGTATCCTTGCACGTTCAATATCACCCCATAAATTCGTAAGCGCTACAAGTCCACGGGCTGTTAAAGCATCTAATCATTGCTTGTCAACGAATAATCAAATTATGTTTTATATATATATATATGTTATATATATATATGTTTTATGTAAAAAAGGTTTATATATGTTTTATGTGTTATTTGTTTATATATATACCTACTTATAAACTATTAATCTACCTGGAGGCATCTATTCTATAATCTATATATAAACCTTTTCGTCTTTTATTTCACGCTAGACCGTACTCAGTAAAGTAAACATTTGTTTCATAAGTAACAAGGTTTTATAACTTGTAAATTTATTCGGCCTGTTGACTCTGTCAGAGGTCTATATTGGTTGAAGAAAACTGCATAACTATTTCCTCTTTAACTTGGTTTGGTTCAATTGATCCTTTTTCCTAGGTTGGTTCATCTGTGGCTCATTATAGGGAAGATTTCCATAGTTTCAATATTAGCCACATATTTAATTTTGCTTAAAGAGCGGAAATCAAAATAAGACGGACAGTAAATCGAGAAACGAAATGTGAAACACTTACAAAGGACTCCTTCTAAAGCAGATAAATCTAAACCGGACAGCTAATAAATCAATTTTTGACATATGATACTAAATCATAATTAATCAATGTAAAGTCTTGATTTTTGATCTTTATTTCCATCACATGTCATATTTCCTTCATAAACCACATGCATTTCATTTTTGATTATTGGATCCTAAATGTCCATGTAGGCAGGACAAGCTCGAACAAAAGAATAAATTGTATTTAATGCTCACTATAAATCACTCTTTGTCGTTCCAATCCCAACCCCAGGTTCCTCCAGCGTACTTTAGGTTTCCTAACTTACGTATAGTGGACACTTTTTTGGAACGAATGGTGGCCGCTTTATAGAGATTTTACTGTACCTTGTTTCTGGTTCTGTTTGGTTCTTAGAATCTACATTAGTACATAGTAGTGGATTTGATTTATATTGGAACATATTTTCTTTTTTGACTATTTGAAAAAAGACAGTATATATGTTCAAATGGCAAAACCTATAAGACATGGTTTTGTTGGCTATCAAGGAATGAAGACAAAATAGCACTTCCAATGAAAAGCAGTTTTAAATACAAATATTAGAAATAAGACTCCCCTACGAAGCCCGCTACGCGGGCTTGCCAGTGACCCTACGGTAGAGTACATAAATTAGCCTCGGAAAAGACAAGAATTTTCTTAATACCCCCTATGAATGATAGTAAAATTAGCCTCGGCAAAGACAAGAATTCTGTCGAAGCCCCCTATGAGTTTGCAGATTAGCCTCGGAAAAGACAAGAGGTGTATCAACCTCGATTTGAAAAAAATTGGCTCCGCATAGGTCACGTGATAAAAAAATTACTCGCACTCCTGTGACTATCGCTAGTCAGGGGGTCGCCTGAAATAGAGAAGGGGTAGAGGCTCCCCCCTTCCTAGCGATAGTCACAGGAGTGCGAGTAATTTTTTTATCACGTGACCTATGCGGAGCCAATTTTTTTCAAATCGAGGTTGATACACCTCTTGTCTTTTCCGAGGCTAATCTGCAAACTCATAGGGGGCTTCGACAGAATTCTTGTCTTTGCCGAGGCTAATTTTACTATCATTCATAGGGGGTATTAAGAAAATTCTTGTCTTTTCCGAGGCTAATTTATGTACTCTACCGTAGGGTCACTGGCAAGCCGGCGTAGCGGGCTTCGTAGGGGAGCTAGTCTTCCGTTAATTGAAAGTTGCTTCAAACCTTTGCAAGCCCAGGTCTATTCGTGTTCCTCGTTTGAATATTTTAATGGGTTACCCCCTAAGTCTCCTGTTTTAATTTTCCATAACATTTCATGGTAAGACTTCCCAACTTTACTTATCTGTTTACTCCTCTGACAAATCAAATTAAAATTGAATCTATCCTGAAAATCAAAGAAAAAAAACAATGCCCTCCTACATTCTTTCAATTTAATAAGGAATGCAAGCAAAAAGTGTAATATCATACAGCAAGCAGGCAAGCACATTCTAAACATGACAGAAGACAAACATAATTAATCCAATCCATAGTCACGCCCACTGTGAGTAGCATATACTATTGGCAAGAGCAGGAAATAATTGCTCGAGGACAAAATATTATTTACTCACAGCAACAACCCTATTGAGATAAGAGCTTCTTTCGTGTAGGAAGATAATGCTTTATTACCTTGATTGTAATTCAGTGAATCGTTTTAGAAAAGTAAACCCAAACTTAATTACTTGCTGGCTCCAGATACCGATACTTGCGAAATTCCTAATAGAATCAACCATAGAAATGGAATCAACCCAATGAGTAGTTCCTCGATTATCAAGATTATCAATTAGCAATAGAAACACGTTCGCGGCGGGTTTAACGACTCCTTTTAGCAACCGGTTTTTAGTGTAATTTCACCCAAATAAGCAGAAAGTCATTTAAAATGGTTTCTAGAATGATTCATTTACAATTCCGAAAATGATGCAGGCACAATCTTCAGTAACAATCCAGCTTCCTTTCAGCACAAAACCACGAAAAGAGGCAAAAATTCACCGTTAGCGGCAGGGGTCTAGCAGTAAGCAACCGGTTTTTAGTGTAATTTCACCCAAATAAGCATAAAATCATTTGAATATGGTCTTCTTAAGCGACGAATACAACAAATCCATTTTCCTTGAAGGAGAAAATTTTCATGGGTTAATCCTAGAATTTCTCCTATTTAGTCAGATTCAGTCAAAATTTTTAAGTTTTCCAATCATACACTCTTAGCCCTCGTCGACTTATAGGGCGCTTATAAATATTTTCTAAGGCCATTCTTAAAGCAGTAATGTTCATTTTGAATCCAACGTGAATATCTTTATCATAGCATTTCGTTCAATTCTTGTTCACTTGTGATGCTGTTTTAAGATATAATTTGGGGCCACCTTCAAACTTCCTCTGTTTATTTTGAGTCAAACATTAAAGTTTTCCAACAATAAATTCCTGCTAGCCGTTATTGGTCAATGGTGCTTGTTTAGATATATATCATCTAAAAATTTCTTAAGAATCAAAATTCCTAAATAATTATGTTGATTCATAAAAGAATTAATGACTCCTCTTCTAAACTCCAAAGAGTTATAGAGTTATCATGCAGTTCTATACATTTGAGGTCCACATATCATATCTTCGTCACAATTAGCTTTTGAAACACTGCAGGAACAAAGCAGTTAAGAAATAGAAAGATAAAAAACAGCCAAAGTTTCGTGCATCAGAAAGGAATCTTACTCTAACAACAAATTAACAAAATACAATTTACGGACAACAGCTGATCTATATAACTTTAGTCCTTTTCTCCACAGTCAAGTTTTTTCTTGTTTCATCATTTGATTTAACGCCAGCATAAATGCCATAAATTTCGTTTCGAAGGTCCGAGAATCACGTCAGCGTCGTAATTATTGCTTGAAACGCTCTTTGATCTAGATGAAGAACAAAAAGAATAATGAAGATGTTATTCCATGGTTAACGAAAGCACGTTTTAAGGAAATCGATAGTGACAATGCTTTGTAAAAATTTCAGAAAAACTGTTCGCCTCGAGAGCCTAGTCAGCCCTTTAAGCGGCCGGTTTTTAGTGTAATTTCATCAAATTAAGCATAAAATCATTTGAAATTGTTCTTGTTAAGCGAGCAATACAGCAAATCCATTTTCCTTGAAGGACAAAACTACGAAGAGGTAAAACATTAAGAGAAACACGTTCGCGGCGGGTCTAGCGACTCCTTTTAGCAACCGGTTTTTAGTGTAATTTCACCCAAATAAGCAAAAAGTCATTTGAAATTGTTCTTGTTAAGCGAGCAATACAGCAAATCCATTTTCCTTGAAGGACAAAACTACGAAGAGGTAAAACATTAAGAGAAAAACGTTCGTGGCGGGTCTAGCGACTCCTTTCAGCAACCGGCTTTTAGTGTAATTTCACCCAAATAAGCATAAAGTCATTTGAAATGGTTTCTAGAATGATTCATTTACAATTCCGAAAATGATGCAGGCACAATCTACCGTCACCATCCAGCTTCCTTTCAGTACAAAGCCACGAAATGAGGTGGAAATTCGCCGTTCGCGGCGGGGGTCTAGCAGTAAACAACCGGTTTTTAGTGTAATTTCACCCAAATAAGCATAAAGTCATTTGAAATGGTTTCTAGAATGATTCATTTACAATTCCGAAAATGATGCAGGCACAATCTACCGTAACAATCCAGCTTCCTTTCAGTACAAAACCAAGAAAAGAGGTAGGAACTCGCCGTTCGCGGCGGGGGTCTAGCAGTAAGCGACCAGTTTTTAGTGTAATTTCATCAAATTAAGCATAAAATCATTTGAAATTGTTATTGTTAAGCGAGCAATACAGCAAATCCATTTTCCTTGAATTATAGAACTGGGAAGAGGTAAAACATTAAGAGAAACTTGTTCGTGGCGGGTCTAGCGACTCCTTTCAGCAACTGGTTTTTCACCCAAATAAGCATAAAGTCATTTGAAATGGTTTCTAGAATGATTCATTTACAATTCCGAAAATGATGCAGGCACAATCTACCGTAACAACCCAGCTTCCTTTCAGTACAAAACCAAGAAAAGAGGTAGAAATTCGCCGTTCGCGGCGGGGGTCTAGCAGTAAGCAACCGGTTTTTAGTGTTATTTCGCCCAAATAAGCAAAAAGTGATTTGAAATGGTTTCTAGAATGATTTATTGATAATTCCGAAAAAATGCTCTCAAAAAGCTAGAAATTATTTTCACTCAAGGGGCAGGCAAATCCCATTTGTCACAGCGGGAAATCGCAGAAAAAGTGAAATTTTAATCGAAAAATACTCACTTGTTGTACCAAAAAGTCAGCGAATCCGATCGTTTATCTACAAAAAAGGAAGGCGGTTAGGAAAAGTTGCTGCAAAGGATTCTCGATAGGCATAAAAAGTTAGGGGCTGGCGGGATTACATAATTCGCATTACAACGGGTTTTCCTATGAAAATCAAATTTTCTTGCATCAAGAATAAACAGCAGGAATAATCTACCACAATTCTTCATACTCTGATTGCAATAAAGCCAATCCAGTTTCCTTTTAGCACAAAACCACGAGAAGAGGTAAACATTTTTCGTTCGCGGCGGGGTTCTAGCAGCCGGTTTTTAGTGCAATTTTATCCAAATGAGCAGAAAATCATGTCAAATATTTTAAATTTCGAAAACACGTAAGAACAACAACGCTTACTTGTATTCGCATGCCATCGATTCTGATGCTAGTGAAGAAGGGGATCAGCCAGCAGCCATCGCAAAACCAAAAAACGGGCAGCATCGGGTGTACCGTACGTACGTAGCTACTAAAACGAAGAAAAGGAAGATCGTCAAAACCACGAATTACATGGCTCTTGCAAACGAAATAACAACAAACGGGGTTTTAATCGATCGATCGATAAAAAGGAAAGGAAAATAGCTAGCGAGAAAGTTTATAATAAAAAGCTAGCGAGACTCACCTGTAGCACTGTAGGACTGTAGCACTGTAGCACTGTAGAACACGACCGTCGACAACCGCTTCGAGTTCGAAAAGGAATGCCAACCAGCAGTGCACGTAGATTTATTATCATCCAATTCCAAATCACCAAAAAATTATGAGCACATTTGAAAAGCCTCCTTTGAAATCGAACGATTGCTGGAGGAAGAAGTTTTGAAATCTTTTGTAGAGACCAAGAGAAAAGAGAGAGAAAGAACCTTTAGAAACGGGACAATGGGACAAAGAGCTCGGAGAGCACTAATCGTGATGGAGAGGATCGGAGCGATTTTGGAACGAACCCGGGAGAAAAGGTACAAATATCTATAAAAAAGGGAGGAAAAACGAAAAAAAGAAACCCCCTATGCAGTAGTTTGAGGATCCAGGACGAAGTGGAAAAAAGAATTTTGAAAATCGGCAAAGCGGTTTTGGCTCGTAACCTTTTGAAGCGCTCGGTGGTTTTGATGGAGGGATCCGCTCGTGCATTGTGTGGGGCTTTTGTTTGAGGAGATTAGAGAAAATTTGCATAGTCGCATATTAGTATTAGTTAGACTAGCTCCCCTACGAAGCCCGCTACGCGGGCTTGCCAGTGACCCTACGGTAGAGTACATAGATTAGCCTCGGAAAAGACAAGAATTTTCTCAATACCCCCTATGAATGATGGTAAAATTAGCCTCGGCAAAGACAAGAATTCTGTCGAAGCCCCCTATGAGTTTGCAGATTAGCCTCGGAAAAGACAAGAGGCGTATCAACCTCGATTTGAAAAAAATTGGCTCCGCATAGGTCACGTGATAAAAAAATTACTCGCACTCCTGTGACTATCGCTAGTCAGGGGGTCGCCTGAAATAGAGAAGGGGTAGAGGCTCCCCCCTTCCTAGCGATAGTCACAGGAGTGCGAGTAATTTTTTTATCACGTGACCTATGCGGAGCCAATTTTTTTCAAATCGAGGTTGATACCCCTCTTGTCTTTTCCGAGGCTAATCTGCAAACTCATAGGGGGCTTCGACAGAATTCTTGTCTTTGCCGAGGCTAATTTTACTATCATTCATAGGGGGTATTAAGAAAATTCTTGTCTTTTCCAAGGCTAATCTATGTACTCTACCGTAGGGTCACTGGCAAGCCCGCGTAGCGGGCTTCGTAGGGGAGCTAGTCTTCCGTTAATTGAAAGTTGCTTCAAACCTTTGCAAGCCCAGGTCTATTCGTGTTCCTCGTTTGAATATTTTAATGGGTTACCCCCTAAGTCTCCTGTTTTAATTTTCCATAACATTTCATGGTAAGACTTCCCAACTTTACTTATCTGTTTACTCCTCTGACAAATCAAATTAAAATTGAATCTATCCTGAAAATCAAAGTAAAAAAACAAGACCCTCCTACATTCTTTCAATTTAATAAGGAATGCAAGCAAAAAGTGTAATATCATACAGCAAGCAGGCAAGCACATTCTAAACATGACAGAAGACAAACATAATTAATCCAATCCATAGTCACGCCTACTGTGAGTAGCATATACTATTGGCAAGAGCAGGAAATAATTGCTCGAGGACAAAGTATTATTTACTTGCAGCAACAACCCAATTGAGATAAGAGCTACTTTTGTGTAGGAAGATAATGCTTTATTACCTTGATTGTAATTCAGTAAATCCTTTAAGAAAAGTAAACGTAAACTTAATTACTTGCTGGCCCCAGATACCGATACTTACGAAATTCCTAATAGAATCAACCCAATGAGTAGTTCCTCGATTATTAAGATTATCAATAAGCAATAGAAACACGTTCGCGGCGGGTCTAACGACTCCTTTTAGCAACCGGTTTTTAGTGTAATTTCACCCAAATAAGCAGGAAGTCATTTAAAATGGTTTCTAGAATGATTCATTTACAATTCCAAAAATGATGCAGGCACAATCTACAGTAACAATCCAGCTTCCTTTCAGCACAAAACCACGAATAGAGGCAAAAATTCACCGTTAGCGGCAGGGGTCTAGCAGTAAGCAACAGGTTTTTAGTGTAATTTCATCAAATTAAGCATAAAATCATTTGAATATGGTCTTGTTAAGCGACGAATACAACAAATCCATTTTCCTTAAAGGACAAAATTTCATGGGTTAATCCTATAATTTCTCCTATTTAGTCAGAATCAAATTTTTGAGTTTTCCAATCATACATTCTTAGCCCTCGTCGACTTATAGGGCGCTTGAAAATATTTTCTAAGGCCATTCTTAAAGCTGTAATGTTCATTTTGAATCCAACATGAATATCTTTATCAGAGCATTTCGTTCAATTCTTGTTCACTTGTGATGCTGTTTTAAGATATAATTTGGGGCCACCTTTAAACTTCCTCTGTTTATTTTGAATCAAACATTAAAGTTTTCCAACAATAAATTCCTGTTAGCCGTTATTGGTCCATGGTGCTCGTTTAGATATATATCATCTAAAAATTTCTTAAGAATTAATGACTCTTCTTCTAAACTCCAAAGAGTTATAGAGTTATTACGCAGTTCTATACATTTGAGGTCCACATATCACATCTTCGTCACAATTAGCTTTTGAAACACTGCAGGAACAAAGCAGTTAAGAAATAGAAAGATAAAAAACAGCCAAGTTTTGTGCATCAGAAAGGAATCTTACTCTAACAACAAATTAACAAAATACAATTTACGGACAACAGCTAATCTATATTATATAACTTTAGTCCTTTTCTCCACAGTCAAGTTTTTTCTTGTTTCATCATTTGATTTAACGCCAGCATAAATGCCATAAATTTCGTTTCGAAAGTCCGAGAATCACGTCTGCGTCGTAATTATTGCTTGAAACGCTCTTTGATCTAGATAAAGAACAAAAAGAATAATGAAGATGTTATTCCATGGTTAACGAAAGCACGTTTTAAGGAAATCGATAGTGACAATGCTTTGTAAAAATTTCAGAAAAACTGTTCGCCTCGAGAGCCTAATCAGCCCTTTAAGCGGCCGGTTTTTAGTGTAATTTCATCAAATTAAGCATAAAATCATTTGAAATTGTTCTTGTTAAGCGAGCAATACAGCAAATCCATTTTCCTTGAAGGACAAAACTACGAAGAGGTAAAACATTAAGAGAAACACGTTCGTGGCGGGTCTAGCGACTCCTTTCAGCAACCGGTATTTAGTGTAATTTCACCCAAATTAGGCATAAAGTCATTTGAAATGGTTTCTAGAATGATTAATTTACAATTCCGAAAATGATGCAGGCACAATCTACCGTAACAATCCAGCTTCCTTTCAGTACAAAACCACGAAATTAGGTAGAAATTCGCCGTTCGCGGCGGGGGTCTAGCAGTAAGCGACGGGGTTTTAGTGTAATTTCATCAAATTAAGCATAAAATCATTCGAAATTGTATTATTAGAGGGCAATACAGCCAATCCATATTCTTATAAGTACAAATTTACGCAAGAGGTAAAACATTAAGAGAAACACGTTCGTGGCGGGTCTAGCGACTCCTTTCAGCAACCGATTTTTAGTGTAATTTCACCCAAATAAGCATAAAGTTCTTCGAAATGGTTTCTAGAATGATTAATTTACAATTCCGAAAATGATGCAGGCACAATCTACCGTAACAATCCAGCTTCCTTTCAGTACAAAGCCACGAAAAGAGGTAGGAATTCGCCTTTCGCGGCGGGGGTCTAGCAGTAAGCAACCGGTTTTTAGTGTAATTTCACCCAAATAAGCAAAAAGTCATTTGAAATGGTTTCTAGAATGATTTATTGATAATTCCGAAAAAATGCTCTCAAAAACCTAGAAATAATTTTCACTCAAGGGGCAGGCAAATCCCATTTGTCACAGCGGGAAATCGTACAAAAAGTGAAATTTTAATCGAAAAATACTCACTTGTTGTACCAAAAAGTCAACGAATCCGATCGTTTATCTACAAAAAAAGAAGGCGGTTAGGAAAAGTTGCTGCAAAGGATTCTCGATAGGCATAAAAAGTTGGGGGCTGGCGGGATTACACAATTCGCATTACAACGGGTTTCCTATGAAAATCAAATCTTCTTGCATCAAGAATAAACAGCAGGAAAAATCTACCACAATTCTTCATACTTTTAAAGCCGATCCAGTTTCCTTTTAGCACAAAACCACGAGAAGAGGTAAACATTTTTCGTTCGCGGCGGGGTTCTAGCAGCCGGTTTTTAGTGCAATTTTATCCAAATGAGCAGAAAATCATTTGAAAAAAGTAATATCGAAAACACGTAAGAACAACAGCGCTTACCTGTATTCTCATGCCATCGATTCTGATGCCAGTGAAGAAGGGGAACAGCCAGCAGCCATCGCAAACCAAAAAACGGGCAGCAGCGTGCGTACCGTACGTAGCTACTAAAACGAAGAAAAGGAAGATCGTCAAAACCATAAATTACATGGCTCTTGCAAATGAAATAACAACAAACGGGGTATCAATCTATCGATCGATAAAAAGGAAAGGAAAATAGCTAGCGAGAAAGTTTATAATAAAAAGCTAGCGAGACTCACCTGTAGCTGTAGCACTGTAGTACTGTAGCACCGTAACACCGTAGCACAGAACACGACCGTCGACAACCGCTTCGAGTTCGAAAAGGAATGCCAACCAGCAGTGCACGTAGATTTATCCTCCAAATCACCTAAATTATCGGCAAACAGTAGATTCTTTGTGTTAAAAACGAAACGGATTTGAAAAGCCTCCGTTCAAATTGAAGGGTTGCTGGAGGAAGAAGTTTTGAAATCTTTTGTAGTAGAGAGCAAGAGATATGAGAGAGAAAGGACCTTTAGAAAGGCGGGACAAAGACCTCGGAGAGCACTAATCGAGATCTAGAGGATTTGGAGCGAACCCGGGAGAAAACGTACAAATATCTATAAAAAAGGGAGGAAAAACGAAAAAAGAAACCCCACGAGCACAAGTTTGAGGATCCAGGACGACGTGGAAAAAAGAATTTGGAAAATCAGCCGAGCGGTTTTGGCTGGTAATCTTCTCCAAGATCGGGCGGTGTCGTTTGAACCGCTATACGATTTTGACCCAGGGATCTGCTGGAGCATTGTGTTGGGCTTTTGTTGTTGAGGAGAATAGAGTTGATTTGCATATCCGCACATTAGTATTAGTTAGAATTTACAATTCCGAAAATGATGCAGGCACAATCTACCGTAACAATCCAGCTTCCTTTCAGTACAAAACCACGAAATTAGGTAGAAATTCGCCGTTCGCGGCGGGGGTCTAGCAGTAAGCGACGGGGTTTTAGTGTAATTTCATCAAATTAAGCATAAAATCATTCGAAATTGTATTATTAGAGGGCAATACAGCCAATCCATATTCTTATAAGTACAAATTTACGCAAGAGGTAAAACATTAAGAGAAACACGTTCGTGGCGGGTCTAGCGACTCCTTTCAGCAACCGATTTTTAGTGTAATTTCACCCAAATAAGCATAAAGTTCTTCGAAATGGTTTCTAGAATGATTAATTTACAATTCCGAAAATGATGCAGGCACAATCTACCGTAACAATCCAGCTTCCTTTCAGTACAAAACCACGAAATTAGGTAGAAATTCGCCGTTCGCGGCGGGGGTCTAGCAGTAAGCGACGGGGTTTTAGTGTAATTTCATCAAATTAAGCATAAAATCATTCGAAATTGTATTATTAGAGGGCAATACAGCCAATCCATATTCTTATAAGTACAAATTTACGCAAGAGGTAAAACATTAAGAGAAACACGTTCGTGGCGGGTCTAGCGACTCCTTTTAGCAACCGGTTTTTAGTGTAATTTCACCCAAATAAGCATAAAGTCATTTGAAATGGTTTCTAGAATGATTAATTTACAATTCCGAAAATGATGCAGGCACAATCTACCGTAACAATCCAGCTTCCTTTCAGTACAAAACCACGAAAAGAGGTGGAAATTCGCCGTTCGCGGCGGGGGTCTAGCAGTAAGCGACCGGTTTTTAGTGTAATTTCATCAAATTAAGCATAAAATCATTTGAATTTGTTCTTGTTAAGCGAGCAATACAGCAAATCCATTTTCCTTGAAGGACAAAACTGCGAAGAGGTAAAACATTAAGAGAAACACGTTCGTGGCGGGTCTAGCGACCCCTTTTGGCAACCGGTTTTTAGTGTAATTTCACCCAAATAAGCAAAAAGTCATTTGAAATGGTTTCTAGAATGATTTATTGATAATTCCGAAAAAATGCTCTCAAAAACCTAGAAATAATTTTCACTCAAGGGGCAGGCAAATCCCATTTGTCACAGCGGGAAATCGTACAAAAAGTGAAATTTTAATCGAAAAATACTCACTTGTTGTACCAAAAAGTCAGCGAATCCGATCGTTTATCTACAAAAAAGGAAGGCGGTTAGGAAAAGTTGCTGCAAAGGATTCTCGATAGGCATAAAAAGTTGGGGGCTGGCGGGATTACACAATTCGCATTACAACGGGTTTCCTATGAAAATCAAATCTTCTTGCATCAAGAATAAACAGCAGGAAAAATCTACCACAATTCTTCATACTTTTAAAGCCGATCCAGTTTCCTTTTAGCACAAAACCACGAGAAGAGGTAAACATTTTTCGTTCGCGGCGGGGTTCTAGCAGCCGGTTTTTAGTGCAATTTTATCCAAATGAGCAGAAAATCATTTGAAAAAAGTAATATCGAAAACACGTAAGAACAACAGCGCTTACCTGTATTCTCATGCCATCGATTCTGATGCCAGTGAAGAAGGGGAACAGCCAGCAGCCATCGCAAACCAAAAAACGGGCAGCAGCGTGCGTACCGTACGTAGCTACTAAAACGAAGAAAAGGAAGATCGTCAAAACCATAAATTACATGGCTCTTGCAAATGAAATAACAACAAACGGGGTATCAATCTATCGATCGATAAAAAGGAAAGGAAAATAGCTAGCGAGAAAGTTTATAATAAAAAGCTAGCGAGACTCACCTGTAGCTGTAGCACTGTAGTACTGTAGCACCGTAACACCGTAGCACAGAACACGACCGTCGACAACCGCTTCGAGTTCGAAAAGGAATGCCAACCAGCAGTGCACGTAGATTTATCCTCCAAATCACCTAAATTATCGGCAAACAGTAGATTCTTTGTGTTAAAAACGAAACGGAGTTGAAAAGCCTCCGTTCAAATTGAAGGGTTGCTGGAGGAAGAAGTTTTGAAATCTTTTGTAGTAGAGAGCAAGAGATATGAGAGAGAAAGGACCTTTAGAAAGGCGGGACAAAGACCTCGGAGAGCACTAATCGAGATCTAGAGGATTTGGAGCGAACCCGGGAGAAAACGTACAAATATCTATAAAAAAGGGAGGAAAAACGAAAAAAGAAACCCCACGAGCACAAGTTTGAGGATCCAGGACGACGTGGAAAAAAGAATTTGGAAAATCAGCCGAGCGGTTTTGGCTGGTAATCTTCTCCAAGATCGGGCGGTGTCGTTTGAACCGCTATACGATTTTGACCCAGGGATCTGCTGGAGCATTGTGTTGGGCTTTTGTTGTTGAGGAGAATAGAGTTGATTTGCATATCCGCACATTAGTATTAGTTAGATAAGGCAGCATAGAAAATTTGATAATGTAATCCATACCGAAATATAATGAAATTAAGAGAACCACCATTTAGTATGGATAGTTCCTATTCACAATTTTTTCAATTTGAAGATTCTGAGTTGGAAAAGGCAGCATTCAAAAGTTCTTGATTAGTATATTACATTATTTTCAAAATTTTTTATTTTAGCTTCGAGTCTTTTCTATTCTTTAGCTCTTCAGCATGAACTTAACAAAACAACCCCTCAACTGCAAAGACATCTAAACCAGTTTAAGTACCTTCTTTTGCCACCATGGTTGTAAAACCAACATACACATTTGCAGATTTGTGATTCAGCATAGTGCGAATGTAATCCAGGGATTTCTTGTGTGTTTCTGCTGTGATATTAACAGCCTCGAAAATTTGCTGCAAGCCAGAGTTTCTAGCATTCTCAACCAGAGCTTTGGCACTAGCATCAGCTTGAGCTTTGATTAACGAAGACTTTGCGGCAGCATTTTGTTTTACTTCCAAAGCATCATTTTCAATTTTTACTTTCTTTTGGTCAGTTTTTTTTCTTTCAATCTAAGGAATATAAAAAATCATTAATAATTAGGGAAACCTAGCAAGTGAAAAAAATATAACATTTTGGCTTCAATTTTTATGACATTAGTGATCCATGAAACAAAGCTTTCCCCTTGTCTAAAACCCTTCCAGCTTCAGATGCAAACTCATACCCCTAAACCTTGTGGAGCACTTAGTGATTTTAGCAATGCCAATCTTTATTCACTTTGTATAAAATTTGTTTGTTTTGGTTTCATGAAATTGAAGATGCATATAGGAAAGTAGCATAGTATGCATGATCAAACTTTAATGGTATGCATAAGTCATTCCTTATAATACTTTTATCGTTTACAGTGTTGTGTCATTCACATATGAACATTAAATAACAAGGCCCAATTTCATGTTTACACTTAACAATTAAAATGAAAAATTAGAAAATGAAAAATCAAACCTTTTCCTGTTGCTTGAAGTCTTCTGTATCTCTCTTTTCCCGTTCGATAACAGTTTGAAGGAACTTTTTCTGCTGATCATCTGTTATATCTACTTCCTCCATCTGAAAATACTTTAGATATGAATACAGACCTTTTGTACAGTTGCTTTGCAAACAATCTGGCAGGCATATATACTTTTGACAGTTGCTGTAGCAGCATGATCCTCCAATAGCAATCTTTGCAGCTTTGAAAAGTGCATCAGAAACTTTTTGTCGTTCTTTGCGGTATTCATTAACAGAAAACTTTGAAGCTTCATCTTTAATTGCAGATGCTACTGTGTTACGGATGACTGGTCTGTAGCCTAAGTTATAAGCATCATGCAGGCTTTTCAGTTCTTCAGGCATTAGGAAATATTGCAAAGAAAATGTCATGGTCACTTGCAGTTTTTCCATGTTGAAAAACTCAACTTTGCTAAATGACTCAAGATGGGCATCTGCTGGAAATTTCTTGAAAGTTCCATCAACTCCAATAAAGTGGCGTCCACCCGTGTAAACTTTGCTCCTGTCTACTGTTCCTGTTGATTTCTTTTTCACAAACCCCATCTGTCATAAAATCAATGTCTTTCAATTAAAAAATTGGTTTTACTTCTTTGGTAATTCACAAGGTTCATTGATTGAAAAACAATACTTATATCTAGTGAATGCAAAAAGAAAACAAATGTGTTTTTATGACTGATTTTTTATAAAAAAAATATAAAATTATGATATACAATTTAAGATATGTAATAAATATATAATAACAAGGTTTTTTCTTGCCCTTGGATACTTCTCATTAGCTGGGTCTGGCAATTATTAAGCTCATGGAGTCTGAAGCATCTGAAATATTTAAATACCTAATAAAAAATGATCCAATAGATTTCATGCTATGTCTGCAAGAGGTAGAGGGCAAGTAGCAATTAAAGGCATTGAGTAGTCCCTACATTTCAAATCACCTGGTACTATAACACTTGCCAGTAAAAAAATTATGAGTCTGGCTTATGATAGATGGACACAAATCTAACTGCAGTTATAAACTATTGATAGCTGCATACTGTAAAACCAGAGACTTGGAGAACAATAAAGTCAAGTAGGCAAGCAGTATTTATTTGTTAATGCAGATCAGAGATGTGGAAGCCATTATTAGCTGATATTAACCTGCAACTTGTGCCTCCAGAGTGATACTCTGGAACAAATACTCTGGGTTCTCATTTAGAAACCACAAAAGGTGGACAGCTGAGTTGGTCAGAGGCTTCTGGGGAGTGATTCTGTCAGGACTTGAACCCACAACCTTAAGATCGTGAGAAAAAAGCTTTGACCACTTGTCCACACCGCAATGATGAGACAAGACACCAGGTTTGTGTTCAGAAGAATACCATTGGCCTGTTCCTTGTTCTAGAGATTTTATAGCCAGCACTCATACAGACATTAAAATCTATAACTCTTTCTATCTAACATTGGAAAATTATTTAATAGTTTCCATTAGAAAATTATTCAATAAGATTGTCTAATCCTATACAGTTGACCAGAGATATAATAGAATAGTGAACTTTCCAAGACATGCAGATTGTTGAGGGTTTGCTGGTCAAGGTCAGACAAGCTCCTTGGATCAGGGGCATTGTGGCTTCCAGAAAAGGGCCCTGAGAAAATAACCATAAGGGGGCCTGCTTTTTTGTATGACATCTCCAATCACAAACCACAGGTTGCCAAAAATGGTACATACATACCTGGGAACAGGCAAAAAATATGACCTGCCCCTACCTATGCATTTATATCACTTTTTAGAAGAATTAATGTGGATATAAACCCCTCCCCTATACCACCCTTTCGACATATGGACTAGACTTAACTGCGTCAATGAACGGGAAGTTAGATTGGCCTGTCCTGAGTAGATTAGAATTTACAAATTTCAATACGAGTGATGCATAAAATCAATTGGCAGTGTCAGAACCTCACCTCGTAGTATTCCAAATCGGAAAAGCTAAGGGGAACAAGGATAACGGTGAGAAGAGCTGCAATGCTAATCACGACAAGGCCGCAGCAAAGTAGAAAGCCATGTGAACCATTATCTAAGCCCATAGCTGATGTGGAAGGTCGCCTTCCGTCTACTTCGAAGGTATCGCCCCTAAGTGAAGTGCGAGCAGCTTCTTCAGGTGATTCCTCTTTCTCTTTGCTCTCTGCTTCAGCTTCAATGTCGACGTCAATGGCTGTTGTCTCTAGGCCAGAAATTCTGTCTGCAGAGTCTGTGGATCTCTTCCAGTCCAAACTTTCTACGGGTTCATCAGACATTCGTTCTTAGTTGATTCTTGATCTCATTTGATATCAATTATTTCTTCATAAGGTTCTGAAAAGTGAACAATTTATGGTTTTTCGCTCAGCAAATGTTGATCCCTTTGTGGCTTCGCCTGCCTTGAACTTGAAACTTGGCAGATCCTTCTACTTTCAGCGAACTGGTGGACACACCCATTTGAGTGTGTCCCCGGAGTAAACGGAAGTAGTCTGCTGTGATGCTGATAATGGCATCTGTTGCAAAACAATTGCCCGAAAACAATGCCGCAGTGCGGGTAGCGAGTTGGCAGACTTTGGGAAAGTATTTCATTTTCAAGTTACATGAAAACGAGATAATAATCTAATGTGTATAAAAATCCAAACATTACAAATCAAGATTAATTAACAAAATGCAAAAGACGTAGGAATTGCTCATTTTTAGCAATGGAGCCTCGATTTTATCCAAAAAAATAACAACATAGAGTCCCGCAGGCAATATTCTAAGTTGCAGTGGTGACCAATTTGTGCAGCGATGAAAAGGAAATGTGCAGCAATGAATCTGAATGACTTTGTGCAGTGATGAAATTTTGATAAAAAATTCTTAGTGATCAAAATGTATAAAACAACCACCAACTAAACGAAAGATGCAATTTGTTTAATAAAAATATTGTTGATAAACTTATAAAAACTATTTGATGTTGATATATACCTGCTAGTATTGGCTTACTATTTGCGTATCATAAGAGTTCTTGACTTTTTGATTGTTGTGTACTGAGACAATTTTTTTGCATTCTGCTGAATGAGGCTTCGATGTCAAAATTCTTGATTTAACATTAATGATATCTTCGTGATTTTTACCATCGTTATATACATATTTTTCTGAGGATAACTTTTGACCTTTGCATAGATGTAGATTACAATCTTTGATTTTTTCTTGTGATCTGCAACCTCCCGTAAGACAAAATCCTAAGCAATGGATGCACGGACATTTCTTATATCATTCTTACTGGCACAGATTCTCGAAATTCACCAAGAAATTGGTTTCTCGCTAAAAGTTTCACAAAGGAACATTCCGTTCAGTTACAAACAGTTCCAATCGATTTTTCATCTGGATATCTGTAATATATATATATTGTTGAACAATAATTATCTTTTGTTATATTGATTCGTATCTACATCCGCTTCCTGTTCCGCAAAAGCGGTTATACATCATCGCTCGTAGGGATTTCTACCTACAGTAGGGATTTTTTGCCTTTTGTAGGTTGTAGGGATAAACCTACGGGATAAAATGCAAAATGTAGGTATAAACGCTCAAGTTGTAGGTATAATCAAGATTAAAGAATTTTTTTGGGTAAATTTTTATTTGCACAAAAAACATTGAAATCAATGAAATTCCCCGTCCATGGTATGCATCTCGCGTTCAAAGTTGATCCAACACATTCCCCAAAATAAATTGTAACAAAACAAAATTGAGGAACAGATTGGCAGTCCGCACGATTGAGGCCGTAATCCGAGTTGGTGAAGGGTTCCCTGGATGTTTTGAAGTTAGTGCTAGGCTATCGTCTCTCTATTCCAGTGCCAGAGGATCATATATGGAAAGATACAATAATAATGACCGGGAAGACGTTGAGAACATTGAACAGTTTGACTGACTATTTACCTGAAGCAACTTTCCCTTTTTGTTGTGTTAATTGGGTAGATTGATTGCCTTTTCTTTGGTTCATATTTTTTAAACTGCTACTTGCATCATATTATTATATTGTATCATTCTAAAGTTATAACAACTTTATTAAAATAGACAGGTTGCAAAGCGGATTGAGTTTTTTTGTCATTATGTGGGTTGTTTTCGTGGGTATAATTCCGAAAATGTAGGGATTTGTAGGGATAATTGAGGGAAAATGCGTAGGGGGAAAGTAGGGAGAAAACGCATGCGCTGTAGGTATATCTGGCTTTCATACAGTGGCAACCCTGCGTGTAATGAGTTTTGAGTGTCTCGCTTGCTGAAGTTGTGTTCGCAATTATAATTGAGTTTTGTTATGTTGTCAGATATACACTCGTGATTTCTTTACGCTATTTCTGCGAAACTCGACATAACTTTAAATTAACATATATTTTATATTTTCTTTTGCTTGTGTCTACTTTCGCTGGTATGTTTCAACAAATCATGAAACACATTTATCACATCATATATTTAATACACAATAACAAGTTGTCGCAATCATTTTTAACGTAATGAACATAAGTCTGTCTATTTTATATTCATTAAAGTGAACTTCAGCTACTCAGCTACGCTGTATCTCTCATCAGTACTGAAGCCCATAGTGTACAACCACCCATCCCTCTATTATTAGATGGTCCTTTCTTATAGCTAATAAATTTTGAGAAAATAGGAGGGTCAAATTTTAAAGCTATTCAAGAAGGGAAATAGGTATATAGATGGTCTTAGTGATGTGAATCTACCCTTAGATTTAGGGTATTAGTTTGTTGCTAAAAACTTACGAATTTACGAATTTGTGCAGTGATGAAAGTTTCTTAGAGTATTGCCTGGAGTCCGGTAAAATTACCTGGTCCTCAAAAAAGTGTTTACTTTACAAGAAATGAAAGGAAAATCAATCAGAAACAGGAAGATAAAATAATAGGACTATGTTAGCAGTTAGTCTCATATATTTCATTTTCGGCTACGAAAGGGGGATTTAATGTAACCAAATTCACAAATAACCAAAGTCCTCTTCAAATAATTCATAATAAAATTCAGAACATAATCTAAAACGCGCTCGAGTCCACTTTGCTACAAATAAACCGAAAAATATTTTGGAGGAAACATGTTTCGAGGATATTGACAATTATATGATTTTTGATTTAACAAAGTCAGCGCTAATCGACTAATTGTTCAAGATAACTGAAGCTAGGAGTTTTACGAGATTCAATAAAATAATTACTCCGACGGATCGTAATAGAACCATTGCTAAATAAAAAATACCACTCTGAAATTAAATTTTATGTTATTAGCTCTTATGTGTGTAAACCTTGGCCTATGGAATTCTTCTATCGAGGGTTTCAAAATATGTCAAACTTGGTTATCAATAACGAGCGCGATTTCTCGCACGGTGTTGCACCGGTTTCTTACCCAGACCCCTTTATCTACCCCCTCATTTTCCAGCCCACAATTTTAGGGCTGACGCCGCCCCTGGCTTGTTTTTTTTGTTTGTTTCTGTATAATGGGCTCTTTTTCTGATAAATATCGAAATAGCATCAATTCAAGTAACTCTTGAGTTCCAAGAAGCTATTAGTCGAAAATCAATTTTTAATTTTATGATTAAGCAAAGTATTTCTTCAACAGCTTAAATATCGATTCTAGCGTTGCAATAATAGTTTTGGCAGTCAATATGAATATTGATACAATTTTCTCAAATCCTTTGTAACTTCCACACTGAAATATATATTTTCAGCAAAAGAGAAGGTATGTTCAAACAATGGCTTGTTTTTGTCCAGTTGACAGACAGTAAGAGAGAAAAAGATAAACTGCTGTGCTAAGCTATTGTGTTTTTAGAATATGCTAAAATGATTATTTATAAAAAGTCATAAATATTTCATGCTGCCAAAATGACACAACTTACATAATTGATTAAAGGTGCTAGAAATATTTTGCATTTACTGTACATGATGAATAAATATTTTCATGTGCATGTATGTAGCAATAGATAACTCAATTAACAAATTGCTTAGTATCTAGAAGATTATTCTGAATCTTTACAGAGCCTGCTAATAGATTTCAGTTCAAACAGGTGTTAATCTGAAATTTGGTTTGGGTGTCATCTTCAAATCCAGTATTTCTATCCTAACATTCTTTAAAGTTCCGTCTCCATAAGTTGATTTTTTATAAAAAGTTGAGTGGGTATATCACCAAAAATTATAGACGGCTGTTGAAATTAACGTATTCTTATATTGTTTTTCAATGAAAGCACTTCTCTTGATGTTGACCAGACACATTATGTATACTAATTTGGCTTTTTAGTAACAATATTAACCAGTTTCTTCTAACAAATGCCCCTCAAAAATCTAAAAATTGAACCAATACAGTGTAAAACTGCATAAACAAATAAATATTTGAATGTACAATTTTTAAATTGTGACAAAACTTTAGGAAATACTCACAATTAATGTAGCTCCATTGACTAAACAAATACTTGTGTGTTTTGAAAAAAATTAATATTAGAGGCAATCAACAAATACCATAGTAGAATAAACAATCTGTCAATCAAAACTAGCCAATCAGTAAGCACAATACCACTACAGGTTTCAGGCCTGGCCGTAAGACTTTCAACAGGGGAGCAGTAAACAGCTCTCCTAGTAGTATTCAGGTGAGCTATATGAATAGAAACAAAGGAAAAGTTTATTTCAAGGAGAGCAAATTTGCTTTTTAGAACAATTTAGGAGAGCAATCTGTAGCTCCCCTCCAGCATTTGAGGAGAGCCTGGAGGGGAGCAAGAGCTATGACTCCCCTCAAATGGCCAGGCCTGAGGTTTCTTGATTGGCTAATAGTAGATTGACAGATAGCCCATGACATATAGTATCTGTCAATTGACTGTTAGGTGCATGAATAAAATATCAAATGGTGACTTCAAAGTCTTTAGTCTCGAAAACCTTATTATGCCAAAAATAAAAAGTCTTTTTACAAACTTTTCAAAAACTGTATCATGGCAAAGACACCTAAACCAGCTCAAGTACCTTCTTTTGCCACCATGGTTGTGAAACCAACATACACATTTGCAGATTTGTGATTCAGCATAGTGCGAATGTAATCCAGGGATTTCTTGTGTGTTTCTGCTGTGATATTAACAGCCTCAAAAATTTGATGCAAGCCAGAGTTTCTAGCATTCTCAACCAAAGCTTTGGCACTAGCATCAGCTTGAGCTTTGATTAACGAAGACTTTGCGGCAGCATTTTGTTTTACTTCCAAAGCAGCATTCTGGATTTCTATTTTCTTCTGCTCCGTCTTCTTTCTTTCAATCTAAGAATTATAAAAAAATCACTAATAATGAGGGAAACCTAGCAAGTGATAAAAACATTGTTTAAAAAAAAGATAAATTGCAATCTACTGTGCAACAATACAACATCCATCCTAGATAATTAGCACTATTTTTAGTGTATGCAAACTTTATGGTGAAATCAGAGTCTATGTTATCATTTTATGATTTCCTTTGAATATCCTACCTTCCCGGACCAGATTGGATGCAATGAATAAGTAGAACTAAGTTTTTTCTGAGTCACAATGGGAGGGAACTTAAGGTGGGGCAGGGGTTCTCAGGCTAAAAGTTTCTTAAGAGACCCTTTATATGATGAGACCCAAAGTGAAACTCATGCCGTCACACGTTTTTCATCAGGTGCTGGTCTGATCTATTACATGGCATTTGAGTCTCGGCTTCTACAAGTTCATGTTGGGTTTTTAGTAATAATAAACATATTCTATAAAGAATTTACATACTGGTATGAGTTCATTTTGGGTCTCATGTAAATGGCTCCTGAAAACCCTTAGAAATGTCCAAAACTTTCTAACAAGTTAGTGTTTTGGGGCTATAGCCCTCTGCACCCAGCTACCGCTTCCTCCTCATTGCAGTGCTTCTTCTACTAGATAGTCAGCATCAACTTTCAACCTTTATAAATAGGGACCTTACTTATGTTAAGTTGGCTGATAATTAAAAAGCCTAACTGTTGGTCTATAAAAAGAATAATGTTGAAGGCTCTGTTAGTTCTTGCAGATAATTGGAAAGCAGCTTAGCTACAACTGTAAAATACAATACTCAAGTTTTGACAATCTTTCAAAATTGATTAAACCCTAAACATAAAACAAACAGAAACTAACTTTCTCTTGTTGCTTGAAGTCTTCTGTATCTCTCTTTTCCCGTTCGATAACAGTTTGAAGGAACTTTTTCTGCTGATCATCTGTTATATCTACTTCCTCCATCTGAAAATACTTTAGATATGAATACAGACCCTTTGTACAGTTGCTTTGCAAACAACCTGGCAGGCATATATACTTTTGACAGTTGCTGTAGCAGCATGATCCTCCAATAGCAATTTTTGCAGCCTTGAAAAGTGCATCAGAAACTTTCTGTCGCTCTTTACGGTATTCATTAACAGAATACTTTGCAGCCTCATCTTTAATGGCAGCAGAAATAGTGTTACGAATAACTGGTTTGTAGCCTAAGTTATACGCATCATGCAGGCTTTTCAGTTCCTCAGGCATTAGGAAATATTGCAAAGATATTGACATGGTCACTTGCAGTTTTTCTGTGTTGAAAAACTCTATTTTCTTAAAGGACTCCAGATGAGCCTCTGCTGGGAACTTCTTGAAAGTTGCATCAACTCCAATAAAATGGCGTCCACCCGTGTAAACTTTGCTCCTGTCTACTGTTCCTGTTGATTTCTTTTTCACAAACCCCATCTGTTTGATAAACTTTGCTCCTGTCTACTGTTCCTGTTGATTTCTTTTTCACAAACCCCATCTGTTTGATAAAAGATCCCTCTGATTAACTTTAAAAATCAAATGAAATATTTAACTTAATTGTCCCAATTTCTTTTTTCTACCAGAAACAATACTTTTATACCAAAAAGGGTACAAAAAAGGAGCAAAATATTGGCATAATTGACAATTCTTGATATCTGGCATCCAATTTGTCTTTGGATTGAAGGACCATAGTATACCACTACAAAATTCCTCTTGCACATGACATTAGTCCAAGCACTGGACACAGTAACTTTAGGCTACACAAATACACTGACAAACATTATTAAGAGTTATGAAAATGTCTCACCAAAAAATTTGAACAAAAGTAGTTTTGGTTTGGAACAATCCAAGTAAATGCAAAGCAATGGTAGATAGTTATAATCAACAACTTTGGTTTTCTCTTTTAACAACAAATTAAACCAGAAGCGATAAAAAACGACAATTACTTAATTCTGGAAACATGAGACAGTCTTCTAAATGTTGACATGATGATAGATATGGGCCCCTCCTATCTAACGAATATCATTCGGCTCACCTTTATTGTCACAATTTAAAATATGACTTTGTAAGTCATAAGATTTATGAAATAAACGAAGAATCTCACCTCGTAGTATTCCAAGTCAGAAAAGCTTAATGGAACGAGGATAACTGTTAGCAACGCCCCAATGCTTATTAATACTAGGCCGAAGCAAAGAAAAAAGCCTTTTGAGTCACTAGAGCCCATTTCTGCTCTAGATCTGGATGCTTCACTTTCGTTCACCTCAAAAGTACTGACACGACCTGTAGATGTGTGGGAAGCTTCTTTTGGCTCTGCAGATTTAAATTCAACGTCGACACCAACCTCTCTGAAGGGTAAGTTTGAAGAAGCTTGACGGCCTAAATTTTCAACGTCTTCAGCCAAACCATCTCGATTGAAATCTCCACTATCAACGGCAGTTTCACTTTGTATAGAACTTTCAACATGGACAGGAGATTCCATAAATTTAACTAAGATAGTCCTTCTTGCTGCCCTCGAGTGTTGGCCTTAACGCATTTCGCCCTAATATTTAACCTTCATAAACATCCTCCATAACCTTCATAAAACTGTTGACGAAAGGGAAATTGTTTCCTATAACAAAAGCCATTGAAATTTGTTTTGCTTTCCGTTGCAATTTCTTCACTTGATTTGTTTCATGGAATTTTATTATGGTCACCTATTATTGTTTGGGTATGTGTTTTTTCTATCTGTGGCCTCTGGTTCTCTCTTGCCCCCAACGGCCTTCAAAACCTGGGAAGTTAGAATTCCTCGACAGCGTCCGCCATGATACCGTTACCTTAGAAACAGATACATATACTTAAACCAATTAACATTACGCACGCGTAGTTTATAAAAATATTCTCGACGTGACAAACTTTCGCACATAAAAGAGCTATGATTTTCGCACAAATAAAATTTCGTACAAAAAAATCTTTGTCCGAAGATTTTTTATGCTGAAAATGTTTGGAAACGTAAATGCATAGTAGTTAAAGTAGAATGGAAAATGATGAAAAAGATTTTAAAAAGCATTAAGGGCTAATGTTCTTGCAAGCAATAGAGTAGCAACGCAAAGCTAAAATTCTAGACGATAGAATGCTACTGTCGACATCAATTATGTTCTACTTTGCATCCTCTCAGCATCGAGGTCACTGTGCTTGCACAGTTTGTTACGCTCTGATGTGAGATATATCTTCCGGTCACATGATCCAATCCGCTATTCAAAGAATAAAACAGTAGTACCTATAAAACCCTCCACACCCTAGAACCTCCTCAGTTTTTCAGAGCGCATCTTTCAATCCGCAATGAGTCAACTAGAAGAAGAACTTTTATTGAGTGAAGATGAACTTCTCAACTCTGCCAAGCCTTATCAAGCTGAGGGCAGGAAAAGGACTAGAGAAATCTTTCGGTTGGAATTTGAAGACCTCCAAGGACAGGTAAAGAGCGTTACCGACGCTTTAAATAACTTTGGAGAACTTTGTGGTGAAAAACGTCCGAGGATGTCTGACTGTGATCCCACAGCTCAGTCTACATCCACAGTTCAATCTACTTCATGCGTAGCCTGAATTCCAGACCCCAAACTAGAAGTATTGGACACTTCTTCAACATTCCAAACTAGAACTATTTGGAGTCTGGGGCTCAGGCTAAGCCAAGGTTGATCTGAGTTGATCTGACTCGGCCCGGGCTGACTCGGCCCGGGCTGACTCGGACTCGGCCCGGGCTGACTCGGACTCGGCCCAGGAGGACTCGGACTCGGCCCAGGAGGACTCGGACTCGGCCCAGGAGGACTCGGACTCGGCCCAGGAGGGACTCTCGGACTCGCCCAGGAGGGACTCGGACTCGGCCCAGGAGGACTCGGGACTCGGCCCAGGAGGACTCGGACCGGCCAGGAGTACCTCGGACTCCGGGTCAGGAGGAGCTCGGACTCGGCCCAGGAGGACTTCGGACTCGGCCCATGTGAGACTCGCTCGGCCCAGGAGAGACGTCTCGGACTCGGCCCAGGAGGACTCGGACTCGGCCCAGGAGGACTCGGACTCGGCCCAGGAGGACTCGGACTCGGCCCAGGAGGACTCGGACTCGGCCCAGGAGGACTCGGACTCGGCCCAGGAGGACTCGGACTCGGCCCAGGAGGACTCGGACTCGGCCCAGGAGGACTCGGACTCGGCCCAGGAGGACTCGGACTCGGCCCAGGAGGACTCGGACTCGGCCCAGGAGGACTCGGACTCGGCCCAGGAGGACTCGGACTCGGCCCCGGAGGACTCGGACTCGGCCCAGGAGGACTCGGACTCGGCCCAGGAGACTCGGGACTCGGCCCAGGAGGACTCGGACTCGGCCCAGGAGGACTCGGACTCGGCCCAGGAGGACGCGCGACTCGGCCCAGGAGGACTCGGACGTCGGCCCAGGAGGACTCGGACCGGCCCAGGAGGACTCGGACTCGGCCAGGGAGGACTCGCGGACTCGCCAGGAGGACTCGGACTCGCCCCCCCCCAGGAGGACGCGGGGACTCGGCCCAGGAGGACTCGGGACTCGCCCAGGAGGTACTCGGACTCGCCCAGGAGGTACTCGGACTCGGCCCAGGAGGACTCGGACTCGGCCCAGGAGGACTCGGACTCGGCCCAGGGGGACTCGGACTCGGCCCAGGAGGACTCGGACTCGGCCCAGGAGGACTCGGACTCGGCCCAGGAGGACTCGGACTCGGCCCAGGAGGACTCGGCCCAGGAGGACTTCTATTTGCTTTGAAATAATGTATTGTTAGCGCGAAAGAGGGTTGAGCCCGGTTAACTTTTCTACTGCGCATGCGGAATAAGGTTACGAATTGAAAAAGGCGCCAATCTTTTCTGCATCTCTTCGCACAGCTTGTGCTCTCTGTTAAGCCTGAAATACACGATCAGTTTTCTTCAGTTTTAGAATGAGTTCACGCTTTGATAAGATCGGCTCTTTTTTACAATGGAGCTTGATCAAGAAACAACTTCAGTACTTCTGGTTGCGGCTCTGGTCGTCAAAAAAGGCGCAAATATGGAAAATAGGAAAACAAGGTCTGTTTGGGTAAAGCCATGGTTGAGTAGGAGGACTAACCTCGGTGTTAACGACCCTCTTCCAGTGGCGTAGCGTGACTTTTTCAACTGGGTATTCTCTATTAATCAAAAGGGTGGGGCAGGGTGTGGCTCGATGCGGCTTGATGAAAATAGGGGGATAATAGGAAGATTAAAAGGACTAGCTATTGACATTTTATCTAATTTTCTTTTTGGTTTGGTTGGCAAGTACTGCACTGTCAGGGCATTGCTATGATAAAAACAATACTTTGCTAAAGGACCCTTCAAATATACTCTTCGAACTCATTCATTGCATCATATTACTATTAACCATTTCATCAAAAGTAATTCAAATCAAAACATATCATTGAAAGCCAGTAAAATTTTACTGGTCGAAATATGTCCCAATAGTTGTTGTTAAATCGTCTAACATTTGCATTGATGTAAAGAGGAAGTAACTGTAAACACCTACTCTTGATACCTTAATACAAAAGGGCTTTCAAAAGTTTCAAAATTATTCTCATAGGGCATTACATGAGTTATAAATGATTTTGTGCTATGCAGTATAGACTTTTTCTTCATGGTCTAATCGTAATATTTTCAATACAAGTTAATATTTGAAAGAATCGAAGGTAATGAGACGAGACTGGACAATAATGCAAATAAATGCGCTCGAATAATGCAAAAAAAATAGGCCAACAATATAACTGAATACACCAGGCAACTATAAGGATATTATCCAGGCCTATCTGCATTTACTTTAATTCTATCACATAATACAAACAGAAACATCCCTGATTGGCAAGCAATAACAAATTGGCATTTCAAGAGGGAACAGATCTGAATCAGTGTAGTATTATGTAGCAGCCTACCTTTCCTTTCCACTTTGCTGTTGGTAGATTAAGATTAGGGGTCAAATGAGAGAATGATTATGAAACAGTAATACAGACATTGCAATAGTTTTTTTAATTAAGTCATGTTTACTGTTTTCGATGCAGCTCCATCACTCCAGCCGCTCCGACGTCCATTAACTGTTTATATCGATCTCATAACGAGACTATTTTGAACCAACTTTGAGGCTGTAGGCTGTACGCTGCATATTTCTCAGCGTACAGAACCATTGTTTTAGCTGATTAACGGCAAATATAATTCATGGAAAGGAGCATTTTGATTGGTTAAAGTACCGTCTAGGGTATTCACTGCGTATTCATGACCGATCTCCATACAACATGAAGTAGCTCAATCTTCAAAATTAGCTTCAAAGATCCCCCAGCTTCTCTATGCTTCGCAGCGTTATTGTTTCCATGAATTTCGTGATATTTTGTACTTGTACAAAATGTAGAATATTGAAGGTAACGAATTCAACCAGAATCAATAGCCCCAAAACATTTTTTACTTATTACAATTATACGTCGTATTAATATTTTTTCTGAGAAATCTCAGGGTATTCACTGAATACCTTGAATACCCGGACGCTACGCCACTGCCCTCTTCTACAAAAGTTAAGATCGGACGGTGAAGCAGAATATAGAAAATTATTGAGAATGACGCCTGAAAATTTTGACGAGTTGTTGGAGCTTCCCTCCACGCTTCTATGAATTCATCTGTATTGACAACTTTCTTCGCCATCTTTGAATCGCACTTATCCACGCTGCTCTAAAAAATTGGCACCTTGGGCAAGGGGATTACAGGGGCGCCAGCTTTAAACAATGGAGTCTACATAAATGAATAGAAATCCCATCAGTTAAAAACTGACAAAGTTGGACGTGTTCAACTTTTTCAGTCAACAACTGAAGGTCATTAATGCATCCGTTTTTATCCGTTTTTGCTAAATTCACTTTCAAGAGCCGAACTTTTAAGGCACACAATTGTAACCATGTTTGAAACTAACAGAAGTTTTGAAAATGCAAAAAATTCCATGTAAACGGAAGTTTCCATAACTTCTTTATCAAAACTACTAGTTGAGGTCTGAAAATCTCTTGACCTGTTAAGCTGATTATCGTTGCTTTGCGGTTGTGGTCGCATGTCTCATTTACAATATCGCATGGCACATCCATGTATCCAATGTATGACTGTGTTTTCAAGTGACTTCACCCGGATTTCACTGTGATTTAGGAGTGTAACTTGCAAGTGCGATCAGTAAAATTCCGTTTTCTACGGACTTACAACTCCTCTAATACAGGTACGAAAAAGCTATTTTGTACCCAAGGAACTAATCGAATGACTCAAAAATTTGCACACAGCCAGGACAGATGTCGGGTAAGCAAAGTGTGTCTCAAATTTGTGTAGCTGGGAATCAGTTTACTGCAAACTATGTCATAATTCAACTAAACTTGGAATTATACTTGAAAAAATTAACGAATTAATAAACGACGTTTCGAGCTTAGCCCGTTATCAAATTAGTATATTTATGTCATTATTCGTTCTTAAAATCTCATGCAATGTATGACGGAATGGGGAATTATATTGCAAGCAAAACGGGGGCTTGTCCCCAGGGATGGCGCCAGAAAAGAAATGCTGGGGGGCTGTAATGTCAGAGTGCCGACAGTGAGTGAACCACTAAGAAAGATCTAATATAACACCATTTCCGCTGTGGTAATTCCAGTTCAAAAATTGAAAAAAAAACTGAAAAAAATCAAACAATGAACAAAAAAATAAAAAAAATCACAAAGTTATGAAAGTGCCGACATTGCTTAAAATTTTTCAAAAGTTGAAGTGCCGACGGAGGGGCTCAATGAATTTTTGGGGGGTTCCTGCCCCCCAAGCACCCCTGGTGGCGCCATCCATGTTGTCCCCGGAAAAATATTTTAAATCACGCAATTTGGAAATTCAGAAAATGCCGAAATTTACTGTCTTTACTTTTCACAATTTGCTTTGGGAAGAAGATTCTCAGTCAAATTGACTGTATTTGAAACTCTGAAAGGGTGGCAAAATATTTAGGTGTCAAATCATATAAAATGGTTTGCAGATTTTGAAAGTTAGACTAAAGCCTAAAGCCTAAAGCCATCGTTCAGTTAGCACGACACTATCTTCTAAGATTTTACAGAGAAAGCAACTTCTCCTTCCAGCGTAGGAGACGAGATTATTTCCGATTAAACACGCAATCTTCTGAAATTTAGCAACATAATGACTTCGTTCTCTTCAAACGGTAATTTATGAATTTTTGAAAGTTTTAAAGCGTTTCTTTGAAAAAATAAAGAGGGGCTTTAGCTCCAACTAGCCTAGTATGATGCTCATACAATTATGCGTAATTATGGTCAGGCATTGAACATGTGCTTATAGAACTATTGACTTTTCAGAAAGATATCTAACAACATCATTTGGAAAAATCATGCCACCAGTTTGTGCAAATTGATAATTTTCAGATTGATGGGCTCCTTCTGTATGAGAAAGACATGGTAAAAAAGAACAAAGAATCTCTTAAGAAAAAACACAGGTATTATTCAGTAACGAAAATTATTTAAGTTTGAGGAAAGATGGGAATACTTTAGTAAGTTATTTTCAAAACATACGGCTTAATCTTCCATTAATAATTGTAGAAGTTTCATATTTTCCAGGCTCTTTTTGTAGAATTTCAGGTTTGAGGTGTTTCTGCCAAGTTCCAAACAATGAGAAGGGGGAGGGGGGGGTACGGCTGGTCATTAGTCAGCGGATAAAAAGCCCCGTTTGTCATTAGACACGACTTGTGTATAAAGTTGGACAAAATTTCTTTTTAGTACAAAACGCAGGAGTTTTAGCGCTTCAAATACATAATCAAGATGCCTTTGAGTTCTTAGTTGAAAGGCAAAATTAAATAGCCTGTCACAGGACGTTTTAAAAAATTTTATCCTTTATCATTCCTAGAGCAGACTTAACTATTAAGGGATATTTAATGGTCCAAGGAAAGAGCCAGGGCCTATTTTAAGAAACTTTCAATACTGCACATTTTTAAGGAATTTTCAATACTTCACATTTATAATCATATTTTTTATAGCAAATTTTGTTGTTGCAATCAGTGCAAACCCCTGCAAACCTCAGGTATCTTAGCCATGCAAGTGTAGCGAGGAAATTGCCCGAATTTTGAACACGTGTATAGGCCATGACGGAGAAATCACAAACAGATAGACGATAATATACACAATCAATAATAACATTTCAAAACAGCAACAAAACAAACAAAGCTACAAAACCTGAATAGAAACATAGTCATTTATCTCTTGTAAACGGAGACACTATCTCATGTTTTGTCTGGACAGTAAAACAAAAAAGTTTTATTAGGCTTTTTATCTTTCTTTTAGTTTAGTTAAGTGAGCTTCTGCTAGATGCCCAGAGCATCATAGGGCAACTGATAAATTATTACTGAGACCCCGTTTACACTGTCCCGGGACAATTTTGTACCGTTATGGTTCGCAAGTGTTTACACTGTCGCGGTTCAAAATTGTTTCGTTTAGCCGTTCCGTTTACACTGTACTGGTACATACAGTGTAATGGCTTCAGAATTTAATGGCAGAACATTGTTTAGAAGAAGCTGTATTTAGTCAACCAAGGCTTTTATTTTGCCGCCGAAGTCAACAATCGAATTTTTATTGAGAGTTAAAATGCAGTGGAAGGCCGATAAAAACTTTACTTGGACGAACGACAAGGTGGCTTTAACTTTCAGTGTTATTTTAGACTACAAAACTGCAAAGTCCAATCAAGGCTTGGACTGGGAAACAATACAAGCCTTTTCTGTGGTCGTCTTTTCTTCAGAATTTCCTTTTCTTCAGAATTTGAAAACGTAGTTACG